GGACGTCTGGGAGTTTCGCAAAATTATGGGTAGCAACCACACCGTGCCGGTGAAAATAACTGCAATGAGTGCGTGCCCACATACTGATCGAAGAAAAGATTGTGTAACCGATCCTCGGACTGGCTTGTATATGTGTACATCGCCATGGTCGCTGTTTCACTGGCGCAGTACCTGTCTTTTTGTGAGAATCCTGCATGTCTGCGCTGCCCCATTAATAAGCCTTATTGCTGATGCGCGTGAGTTGTTTTGCACAATGGTAGAAAGGCACTATGGGCAGGACAAAGGAGCAAACACTGCCCCCTTTTCCTTCCCACAGTGCCTCTCTAACATTGCGTAAAATCACTCATCATCAGCAATAAGCCATTTCGATGTTTCGGGTGCGCAAGGAATTCTGGGATTGAATTTGGATAAACAAAACCCACATGGCATAGCCAGCTGGAGTTTCGTGCATGGGAGTTGTGCAGAAGCTTGCGCGAGGATCGATCAGTTGTGCGAAGTAGTTGAACTGTAAGTGCCTAATTAAACCAAACTTTCAGCTTTTTGTGTTGATCTTTGTCTTACCTTTGATAAAGTTTTTTTAACAACCCAAGAAGTCAGTTTTGCTTGGATCACGGCTTGGACAAAAATGGGACTTTTGTGAGGTATTTACAAATGGATCGGAGTGCGCGTTCTGGTCCACGATGTACATGTATGTTACTAGACTGCCGTTTAAATTTTCTCGCACGTATTATGTTACGCATTTCGCCCGTAAACACGGCCCAGCAAATACTCTTTATAGGACAAAGGATCTTAATTATGAGCCTATGTACATAGGCCTACAGTACAGTGTTACGGTATGACATGGGTGTAGGCCTACACGTACTACGAACAATGTACGAGTTTTTAATCGAGTTATTTTGAATTTTCTGCAGTGATATGAATTTAAAAAAAAATTGAGGAGATTATGAGGTCACCTGTTGTATATTCAAGGCACACAGTAGAGTGTCCTTTTTCTTTCCCAAGCTCTCGGACAAGCACTGAGCATACGTTGGGTAAGGGCAAAACCTGTAATATAAAAATAAACACACAAGTAGCGTCAACAAAGCGTCAACAACTTGAAAACACCGTCTACAGATTTTAAAGTCATTTTATCATAATTTAGAGACTCTAACCCTTGCCACTGTGTAAGAGAAACACAGAATTTGTTTCCAGATTCTCACAGGAAATTGAAAAATTTTTGCGATTTATGAGGGCCTCCATCTTTCTTTCCTCTGCCATCCACGTGAAAACAAGATGACAGCCAGTCAGATTGCATAAACAGGCCCGACTTTGTCACTCAAATTTCAACACTCAAATATTATTTCAGATAGATACGACACAGTGAATTTGATATGTACATGTAGGAGCCTAATTAACATTGTAAATGAAAAATCTTTGCATAAATATGCGTGAATACCTTGTTGATGCTTTTTGATGCTAAATAGCATGACCCCTTGAAAGGAATAGATTGAAGTTTTTGACAACACCTCTATCCACCTATTTGTAGTCTTTGTACCAACCGGAAAACGTACAGGTCTCCAAGATGAATAAGCATCATATTAACACTGCAAGTTTTGCAGTGCCTTTTTAATGTTTGGACTGCCTAACCGTAACATGCCTTGTCAAGTTCTTGGAGGACCGGTCAAAATTCTAAAAGTTATGGATATTTTGAGTCTGTTCAGTTACATGTAGCTTCAAAGATATGACAAACACCGTACAGGTTTTGGCTCGAGACACACTTCCGGGACATTCGCAAAATGGTGGGTACCAACCACACTGTGCTGGTGAAAACAAGTGCGACGTGTGCACGCGTGTACATACTGATCAAAGAAAAGATTGAATAGCTCGATCCTCTGACTGGCTGGTTTGCATGAGTCACCATGGTCACAGTTGTTTTCACTGGCGTGGTGTTCGCTACCCCCATTATGTGATAGTCCCAGATGTCCGCCCCAACCTATTCCATCAGTCGACGGGTCAGTTATTCCTCCGCTGACAAGATGTGAAATGCATTTGTAAATGCAGTCAGACTGCGCTAGCTCAATTGGATGGTACCGACAACAAACACAGTATTTCTCCGATTTCATCTTCGCTGACTTGATCTGATTCTTCAGGTAGACAGCTCATTGTCACCACCTTTCTCGACAATCAGACAGTCGTCATACTTTCCCCTTGAAAAACGTATCCACGTCTTCTACTCCATTAGTGCATTTCTGTTGAAGCTGCTCACACTGTTCTGTTGATGAATCATAATTCTGACCACCTTGTAGGGCATCTGCTGCTGATCTTGATGAGTCATTGTTGACACTTGCTATTCAATCGTAGTACGTTGAGGTTTGCAAAGAATCTTTGCATGAACGAATGCCGATTTAGTGATGACCGTTGGATCCAACAGGTGAATTCCTGCCTTCCTGAAGGAACTTTGCAGGTTTCCCGGTGAGAGTGCCTTCTCATAAGCCTTGCATGCCAATCCGCATATCGCAAATTTGTCAATTCCGATACAGGAGTTGGCCCACATGTGCGTGTGGCATTCTGCATTGTACACCCTCTGAAAGTGTCCAAAGCAGTGAACATCCAGGGGCTGAAGTATGTGGCTGGTATGTGCCGGACTGCCGGTAGAATGAAAAGTATGATGTCATTCTTCTTTGCCTAGGCAATCACTGTCAGTGAAATGTGAGAGTTGTGGCCATCGTAAAACACTAGTACTGGCTCATCTTCATGACCACGCACAGAGTACTTCTGAAAATGAGTTGTTAAGTATGTCATGAAGATATCCGAGTTGGACTATCCGGTTTCATTCACTGTTCCATCAGCGCCGGGGTAGCTGCTAATAAGGAGCTCCTGTCTCATCCTTTTTCCGGGAAATACATTGTATGGGGGTACAGATATCTGCTGCCCTAGGACATTGCCACAACCTATGATAGTAATGATAGATTGTTTGCCAGATGTAACTGCAGGTGTTGATGATGTTGCTATGACGATTGAGGGAGGAGTGTGATTGAACTTCAGGCCCTTTTCATCAATGTTGTCCCGGTATGCTCTTTCTGGTGACATCTTTACAGGTACATGTAGGTTGTACCAGTACTTGGTACGGATGTTATCCAGCTCTATGTAGTTTGTTGCTACCACCTCTTCTGATGTACATGTAGCCATTGCTCCAAGGAGCTCAGGACCTCTTTGCTTTGTCACTTTTAATTCAGGCCGTCTCTTCAAGAAATTATACAACCACAACTCTGTGAATGGCTCTTCTTGGCATCTTTTATTTAAATGTCAACCACCTCTGAATGGCTGTAGCCGTGTCCGTAGCTAGCCCTTCTCTTGACGTGGTCGGCCAATTGAGCTTCCTCATTGAGCGAGAAGAGAGGATCTCTCCCAGACTTCATTGCTTCAGCTCCGATTCCCCCTCTGACACGATCCCTAAGTGTTGCTTTGGGAATTCCGAATGTATGAGCTGTTCCTCAGATGAATTTTTGCTCATCAAGAACTTCCCAGTATGCTTTGGTCATCATGGTGGGAGAATAGCACCTGTACCCTTCAGCCCTTGGTTGCAGAGGACTTGTTTCACATGTTCTGCCGATTAAAACATGATGTACACTTGTGTCAGCCAACAACAGCCAGTGACCTGTGTCTTTTCTTTACTGGTTTCATTTGTACGAATTACATTTTTGGTTTTGTAAAATAAATGAAAACTATTAGTTTTTATATTCAACAAAACAGAAACATCCACAGAAAAAAATTTCACATAGATCTGCATACACAAAAAAAAATTCCAGCATGAACGCGGCAATGCGTTGATGGCCTTTCTTATTCCGTGAACTACCAACCATAACGTAATGTACATGTAGGCCTAGGGCCTTTGGGTTGCACCTTGCTATGCAATACCTGCACTTGGACTTGCATGTAAGATTTGAACAAATTGCACTAACATAGCAACTCAAATACTCCAGAAATACCAGAAATATACTTGGAAAATTATAGTTTATAAATATTCCCCTGAAATATTAAGCATCTTATAAATAGTGTTTTTTAATTATTTTTTGTATGTGTAAAAAAATTTCAAAGTGCAAGGCCCCTTTTGATGCTCCACATTTTCACGCCTCTGTTGTTGAGAAAAAAAGCAACTGTTTGGCTTGCAAATGATGTACCGGTACATTCGTGAAGTCCGTTGGGGATTTTTGCTGTTGGCTGTTTGCATGCGGCTTCCATGGGCACGCAGAGCCTCGAACTGACAGCTTGTACACTGAAGTGCGTCAGACTTGCTTTGTCCAATCACATGGTATTCATGTACATGTAAGACCTAATGCAGCACACGCAAAATTACATATAAAGCAACATACACAGGAATCACTGAACCGGCTTTATTTATTGTGTAAAGCTGCCAGATCCAGGTTCTGCATGCCTATGGCGGCAGCGTGCAAAGAGCGAATTGTTTGGGTCATTGATATCACTGAGTAATTGAACGTTGCCAGGATTTGAAAAATAAGCTAATAAGTTCATAAGCTAATCCAAATGCTCACAGGAAATGCCTTGATTTTCCACATCTTGGCTGCCAGTGAAGGACAAGTGACATTCAAATCTTCGAAGGTTCAAACTGCGCCAGTGCGCATTGTAAACAAAAAGATACGCGACGGGAAAGGCAGGCGCGCAAATATTAATATGCATGAATTTTGATGACGTGAGGATGTTTGCAAATTTGGAAGATGTTTTGTTCTTCAGTTGCCCCATTGTTTTCCTGGCCATTGTGTGCTTTCTCGTACTAAGCCAAGACGATGAAATTATCTTCACTAAGCCATCCCCAGGGTGACATACATGTTTCAGCCATCAGAATGTGATGATGGCATGTCATTGAAAGACAAATTATAGCATTTACTTAGAAAACACTCAGAATTTTTTAGACCGGTCTCGTTTTTGTAGGCTTGTGTAGAGGGAGTCTTGTATCTGGGCATGGACCTCTAAGATTCCAGGAAAGAATTTCACATTTTCTGTCTCTGTTTCTCCCACAAAATCATTAACCTTAATCCTCCTCAATCCTCCAAAATCCTTCGGGTGGTTTTGGAAGATTGAGGGTGAATGGCAATCGTGCATGGCTGATTGCGAAGGATGCCATGAGTGAAGGTCGTGGGTGAGACCTTGTGTTGTTCTTGCTCAGTCATGCATAAATTCAGCCCGATATTTCTTTTGAATCATCTGCACTGCTCAAAAATGCCATTTGCCCTGCCTCAACAAAATGACAGGAATTGCCGGAGGATTTTGAAGGATTGAGGCAGTAGGCACACCTCCAAGTAACATTTTCAAGAAATTTCAGAGGATTGAGGAAGTTTCTCACCCCCCAAATTGGAGGATTCTGGAGGATATAGGAGGGTTCCCAGCAAAAAGGGCCTAAATGGTTAGGGTTAAAGAACAGTATTAATGGCCATTATAAGGAACAAAGACTGTTTGGACCTCAAAGGTTAGTTTGGGACTTAAATACAAGCAGTAAGAAGTTTGAAAAAGTTGGAAAATAAACACAAGTGTCATAAATCTGTTCTATTTTCAACACAAAAGAATCCTTGGGAATTATTGTTTCAAAGTGGGAGATCACACTGGTACATGTATTATTGTGTGTATTAATATGTTTTCTACTGTCTCTCATAAACCAACAGATTTGCCTGTTACCATGGCAACACATCAGGGTAGCAATCAGTCACACTTGGTACTCCCCGCCTACCCGGCGTCCACAGAGGCGCTTCCCAACGAAACAGTTTTGCAGCATCTCTTAGAGGCAGAAAAAGTCAACAAGTAGGTCGCATGGAATTGTCTGCAGAATTTTGTGCAAGGGTTCCTTGTCTTGCCACGTTGTCTCTTCCTTGACTTGAAAGCTACCAACAAGTGTACATTGGATGAAGAAACACTAACTTTTGAAGTTTAAAAACAGTTTCTTTCAAAAAACCTAAAATTTTTCTTTGTTGGCCCATAGGACTTGCATGTACATGTACATACATGTGTATGCACAAGGTCTAAGGTGATGGCAGGATAAGAGAAAACTTTCGACCATAGCAGATTTTTCCAATTTAAACTCAGCCCAACTTCCCTCACTCTAGCTAAAAACAATTCTCCAAAATTTTCTCCGGCATTTTGCACTCGAGATTAAAGCCTAATGATTTAATTCCGTAATCAACTTAGAGATTGACCATTGAGTAGTCTGGTGACAAACGGTAGAAAGAATGTGTTAGAATACATACTGTACATGTACAGGAAACCAGAGGTTTCTTTGGACACAGTTGATTGATGCTCTGTCGTATGCAGTACAGGCATGCAACGTTTCCTTGGATCAGCTGATTTTCTTGTTTTTCACTTCACACTCATGCCACTGAAAATTAAAAACACTGTACAATGTCTTGTCAAGATTGGTAGTTCCTTGTTTTTTGTCAAAGTCCAAGTTACATGCCTGGCAAGTGGTGAAAATCCCATTAAAATGTGCGAGTTCATACAATCGCATGTACATGCCCCTTTTATTTTTAAAATTGTACACGTACCGCCATCGAGTTCAATGTTTGACCTGACTGCCCACAGTTTGCAAACAAGCAACATCTCTGTGTCAGGCAACCACAGTTCACAACTGGTTTACACTGGTTACCCGCAACTGCCCGAGTACCAACAGCCAACAGCAGACAGGCAGCCGACCACCGACACTCTGACCCTTCACCCGGGCTTGACCAATGAGCTGAGAGCACTGCAGATTGAGGGCGGATTTGAGACCACCAGCGACTTCCTACATCACCTTGTGGTGTCGGAAAGAGTGAAAAGGTGAGATATAACTGCTGGAAACAGAGGTATTGTGGCTTTAGAAGACCGAAACAGTGACGAGTGGGGCATTAGGCCCCCCCAAAAGTGGTCAGACAACGTGAACTAGCGTGAACAAGCTCACTCTGTCATAACCAGCTTTCGAACAGACATACCCTAAAGTCACATAAGAACACACCGTCAACACCAAAACCAGAGTAACATCAATAAATTGGATTTCTCTCTGGTGACTTTTTACCTTGTCCTATCAGATCTGCTACTGGTATACAGAAAAGAAGAAATACATATATTACAAATGGTCTGAAACTGTTGAATGTCCGACCCTAATTTCACCTGGTTTGACATTTGAAAGCAATCATATTCACGTGCTTCAGTAATATGCTGACTTTAAGTTTCTTTAGTGTACTTCCTTTTTTTGGGAGGGGGTGAAGATTTGGAGATAGTGTTTCACATTGTCCCTTATCGGACTGAGGCTGTGCATTGTGAAATCACGCTTCCTGAGGGTACATGTATTTACTGGGGGCATACTGTACCCTTGGCGTTTTAAATAAAAACATCTGCATTACAAATAGTTGGAAGTACAGCGTTTCCGTCGCATGCCTTGGCTCAAGTTCATTCATGATGGGTTAACGAAGATGCTGGTTTGATATTGTAATCACTCACAGACCTCATGATTCACACAGGTAAGCCATGGCATATAAAAAACTATTTTTTGGCCCTTATAAATAGACAACAAAGTCACTCTTGACTCTTCTGGAGCACGGCAAATACCTTATTACATTGGAATTTGGGGATTCATTCTCTCCGGAACTAAACTGTGTTCGTTTCTGTTCATGACTTTGTAGGCTGCAGTCGCAGCAGAGAATGATGGCTAGGCGTAACAGTGACAACTGTCCTTGTTTGTCTGTCCAATCAACGATGCCCATCTTGGTTAGTGGTACATCGAGTATCACTTGTGTAAACTCTCTAAGTGGTACCACAACAGTTCAGACCTCATGCTCCTTAGATGGAGGTTGTCAGACCGTCCAACTCTGTAGTGTTAACCTCGGGGGTTCATCATCCACTGATGGAGGAATCCACAGTTGTGAAAATGGGGTGGGTGCTAACTGTCAGACTAGAACACAAGGCATTTCGGTTGGTGTGCAGGTGAGTCTGTGCAGTTGTAGTCTCGAGGACAAGGCGTCCGATGGGACAAAAGAGGGACAGCCAAGAAAACGCAAAGAGAAATTTAGGTCCAAAATCAAAAGGAAGAAAAAGTGTTCGGAGGAGGAGGCTGGAGACAAGTCTGGCAGTCGCATCAATGACATTCTGGTGAAGGAGATCCTTCAGACTGTAAAGAGTCAGAGAAAGAAGAGACAAAACAGTCGAACGCGTCGCACGCCAGCTTACCCACGACAGCGACTACCCAGAGATACAAAGTCAGCGCCGAGAGAGAAACAGGAGTATTTATGTGAAATCTGCGGAGCTACCTTCAAATGGAGGCGGAGCCTCATCCCACACATGTGGGAGCATCGGAACGAGGTGTCTGTACATCAATGCCCGCACTGCAGTACCAGCTTCCCCTACGCTTGCCGGCTGAAGCGTCACTTGATCGCCAAGCATCCAGAGCTCGAGGGCGGTCCAATACGCTGCATGACGTGTGGCGTTGAGGTGCAGTCGTACAACACGCTCAAGAGCCACATGCGCATCCACACAGGCTACAAGCCCTTCAAGTGCAAGTTCTGCCCTAAGACCTACAAGTGGAACACGGGGCTGGAGTACCACGAACGAGTCCACACGGGGGAGAGGCCGTACCCCTGCCCACACTGCAGTAAGGCATTCACGAACAAGTCGGACCTGACCCGGCACCAGACTGTCCACACAGGCGAAAAGCCTCACGTGTGTAAGAAGTGTGGCAAAGGCTTCACACAAAGCCACACACTTAAATCGCATTGTAAGAAACATCATCCGGTCACCAGCCTACCATCTGCTGTCAATGTCACTACCAGCAACGGCGTTAGTGCTACGCAAAAGACGTGCTCCCCAGTGCTGCACACGTTGTCCCCCTCCTTCCAGCCCCAGCACCAACCAACTTTCATGCTGGGCAGTTTGCAGGACCCAGCCCCAGCCAACCACAGCTTGGAGCCGATCAAATTTGCCAGCAACGGCGGTCTCCAGAGCCTGCAGCGTCAGGTACCTGGACTCCCCACGGAGCGGGAGATTGCAGAGGTGGTAGTGAATATGCTGGCCCAGTGAGATGGCAGTTCCTCAGCCCACTTCTCACTCTAATCCCCGCTCGTTGTAACTGCATGTCCATTTAGCATTTATTGCTTTGTGCCGGTACCAGCATTTTTTAGGGCATGTGATGGAGACAAGCCAGGAATATAAATTCCCTCAAATCATTAGTTTACTTGGTTTTTTTTTTACTTCCCATGCACTGCTTGCCATTTCAGACTGAGAAACACATTTTAGATGTCCTTTTTTCTCGTATTTCCAGTTGCATGCTTCAGCACTTCTTTGTCGTCTTTACTGACATATCTGCCTCCCACTTTTCTCATTTCCCCACCCCCACAGTAGACATGTAGATGTATTGTGTGGCCTACCAGCATGCTCAGTCAGTGGTTTATGACTTCTTTTTCCCACATCATGGAAGCAGCATGTACCTATCCAGTATTGTTTTTTCTACCTGAGTAGAGTCTCTGGTACATCTTAACATGAGGGTAGGAGCCGTATTGAGAACTGTCATTTGGATAAATGTAAACATTTCAACATTTTGCATATTTTTGATCAATGACGCTGTGCATCAAATTGAAAGTACTGGTAGTGTGAGGAGGTTACTGGAAATTGTAGCATGAATGTGTGCATACAATTGGTTGCTTTTTGCTCGTCCTTATAAAATTCAATTCCCAGGTTTGCTTTTCCAAAAGATCATCTGAAATATTCTTGAAAAATAAAGTAGTTAATGTTTAAGTCATGATTCCTGTACTTTCATTCCCAATTTTCACTGTTGTTGATGTGCAGTATGTTTAGAAACTGTTGGTGGATCTTTGACCTCGTTATTTAGATCAGAAATTGGAAATTAGTCATATTACAGAGGTCATGAATGACGTGTACTGACCTCACTGACGGTCAAGTTGGGTTTTATCATGCCAGCAAACTAGCGTAAGAGGTGTGATTTCCTTGGATTTTTCAGACTTCAGGATGTTTAACCCACAATCGTAGAATTTTAGAGATTTAATCAGTCATGTTTTTCAACTTTTGAGCAATTTGGGAAACTAATTGTGCAAGATTCACATAATAGTGGCAACTCGTGACAGAACTCATCATGATGGTTGTTGAACATCACAAAATCTTGTTGTCATGGTTACATCCCCTCCGCTAGATGTTAGTGTGTTTTCTTGAAACCCAATCTCGCCCCAGTTACGGTTTCCATGATATGTATATATCATGTCTGGAGGCTTATACTTGTAAGCTTAGTAGATTACATTGCAGGGACGGATGCATGTTCATGGCACCCAACAGCCAGTGAAATCCCAAAGGACTCGCTGAGCCGGCTCATCCATGGTCAGCAAGAATACATGTATGTCCCCCGGTTTCTGTACATTTTTATGCCGTGCTGTGCGCTGAATACATTTAACTCAATCTTGCCAGAGTGTATGCTGCATTTGCAATTTTAGGCTCAATTTTCTGAAGCAAAGGCCACCTTCTTGCCAGTTGAAAAAAAGTGTTATCGATATTTTATATGTCTTTCTGTATAATTTGTGGAGGCTTTATTTTGCATTAAGGGTTTTAACATTACCTTTTGCCATATTATTTTAAGATGGTGTTTCCAAAATGCTTATGTTAAATTCTAAGAACTTTTCTGCACGAATGCTTTACTTTTCAAAACTGATACATTACAAACAAATTGTAAGAATTTTTAAAGATCTATGTACTTGGTCATTTACTGGCAGTTGCCACTGTAGTTTGTCGTCTTTATATTTCCAAAAATGGCTCGTTGATCGAGGCACAACTCATGTCTTTGAGCGTCCTGTTTTTGTTTTTTGGGTCAACAGTTTGAAATGTGGCATTTAAATACACAATCTCATTAACCTCCTGGATCCAACAGATGCTCGAGCCAGTTTTGTTCACACTTATAACAATCCCAGAGAAGTTTTCCAGTAACTTTCTAGATTTGATTAGATTAATAGTGATTAGAGTTGACTCAAGTGATTTTCATGTACAGCAGATGAGTTGCCAGGAAAAATGGATACTGGCTTGTAAGCAATGCATCATGGGAAGACTCAGCACTAATCAACGAGATCTCTGTATTGTTCTTCTGTGGATCTGCATAGTTTTGTTTTTTTCTTTCATGAATACAGATGGTTTTAATATCCAAGGATTGTGCCACATGCACATTTAATTAATGATGGTCAGATGATTAACTTTAGGAAAATACAAACTAGATATCAACTACATGTATGAGGTTGGAAATGAAGGTCTGATTTGTTTCCCCTACTAGACAGCTGTATTAAGACCAGCTGAAACCTTTGCCTCATGTTTTCTTATTACATTTGACACAATGGCCCATGAAAGAAAATGGTATACATACATGTAGATTGATTGTAAATATTTCCTGTTGTTTAACCACTTCCTCCTGGGGACTCCGGAATCGGAGACGTATGCTTTATATGCGTCGCTGGGGTCTCCAAAGTGGGACAAAGGAAACAAGGCCCTGTTACAAAAGACTGTACTCCGAACAAAAGACCAGGCTGCTTGGCATTATCAAAATTTTTCACTCTCAAAAGTGGTGATAAATCAGCCTTGTTTTGAAACCTTATATCAGGGTTTGGGGCATTGAGAGCGAGCGGATTACCACCGGGGACAAAAGCGTTCCACCACCACAGCGATGAACCACACAGCACCGCTGCACGCTAATGTGGCCCCCATTGAAAAGAGGTCAGCAGTGCACTGAGCCAGGTTTGTGAACAAAATAAAGTTACATAACACCGTACAATCTGGGCTCTTTTTACAAGGCTGCAGGCTTGGCTGAAATACTCGGGTGTAAATGAAGGTTACCTGTCAACTTAGAGTAGTGCCTAAAGATTACTTCGTGCGGCTATAAACGTCCGTTAAATGAAATGATGAATTTTTGAAGAATTTTGAAAACGGAAAAAATGATAATCATGCCGGCCCAGCATCATCAACATTGGAAAATGCTCTGGCATGAAGTGGTTAAGAGAGTTACATGACTTGGCTGGATGACAAGTATGGGCTTGATTTAGAAAGAAGCCATTTTGGATCCTGCTCTCTGAATCCACTTTGTTTTAAATTCTCTGAAGTGGGAAGGAGCCTGACTAGTTTTGCTATAATTATGCAATAGCTCAGCCTCGTTCCTATGGGTACGATCTTGCTGCGCCATGTTAGTTCCCAACGTGCCTTGCGCGATCACGTGGCCCATGGAGTCGCGGTTGGCGGTAGCCTCAATTTGAAAAAGGTAAGGTGAATTGTTATCCTTACTTTGGAACTGCTCATTGGTGCACAAAGGCTTATACTCTGTATAATTTGTCGGCTGATGATTTTAGAAAAACTGTTACAGGGATCACCTCGTTTTTGATTCAAGATGGCCAACTCGCTAACAGGGCCATTTGCATACAACTCCTAGCCCATTTCAGCCCTCCAGACGGTAATGGATTTACCAGTAAGGTGTGCTTTGTCAAAATATGAATGGATTAAATCTTTCAATAAATGGCCTAAATTGACCGGTAATAATTGACGGGTATGGTGTCTTTTTTGGAGTTGCACGTGGTATCATGGATGAATCTCTCAAAGTGGCCAACTTGACTGGTTAAACCAGTGGCAAAACATGACCTCATTTTCATGCTTGTCTAAGGTCTGTTATGAACTATTAACCCTAACACTCCTCAGTCCTCCAACAGGTGAAGGATTGAGGAGGGTTAGGGTTAAGTACCATCTTGCTCTTGGTCTAGTGCCTGCAGCATACCTTCCGAAATCAGTTGTTACTGATTTATATGTCATCTCCTCATTCATCTACCCGTACATGTGCCCAGTGCAAAGGGCAATTCAGCCTTGTTTGACTGTGATCGTGATTTCTAATTTCACACCATCATCATAATTGTGTGTGAAACTCGTGCATTTCAGGTTTTCTCACACCCTTAAGGGATTTCTCATCCAGGAAGTATCAAATCTCCCCAGATAATTAAATCATGTACGTTTTCTCAACCTTTCCAGGCCCATCTGAACACTAAAAACATTTAGCAGAGTCTGTTGGGTCATTGCTGGTGAAGAACAAGTAATTGATTGATATACTGTAGTTCTCACAGCAGCAATGTCATATCTGTGAATATGGCATATGCACCTGTATCTGTACAGGTATAGATCATGTGGCCGTCAAACATGGGCTTCCAGCACTGCGGCTACACCTATTTTCGTGCTCAACTCTTAGTCAAAGGTTGGCCAAGGGTGGATCTGGGAAGGGGTTAACAGGTGTCATGCCCCACCCTAGAAAGGGGGAAAATTTGAAAAATAGAAGGGCGATTTTTATGGCCTATTTCCTTCCTCTTCCTTCCCAAAGTGTGTTCAATGTACCATAACATAGCCTCCCCTCAGAAAGGTCATCAAAGGTTGCCTAACAATTTCCCAAGATTTTTGCCCCCCCCTTCCCTTTCCCTGTATAAAAGTTTTTCTGCCCTTCAACAGAATTTGGTTCAAGACGCATTCTTGCTGTTGACAGCCCTGCAGTAACAGCCATAGACCTGTGTCATGGAAGGCTTTGTTAACGCCCTGTACCTGATATCAAGACCAAGCATTACACCCGTCCCCCTCCCAACTAAACAAAACAACTAAAAACCCCGACTTTCCAAGATGGCTGAGAAAAAAATCAGACAAACACTAAAGCAGCATTGGCGCAACACTTACGGCATTTTATTCACTCTACTACATAAAGCTCTTTTGAAGACTTTGTTAAATAAAATGAAATTTTATTATAAATATGAGATTAAATATGGCATTTTGTTGGAACATGCTTTGAAATGATACAATGGTTAATCTGCTAGTACTTCATGCAAGTATATCATTACTATTTAGGAAGAAACTTCAAAACATACTTTAATGTAGTAAAAAAACAAATTCAACATAATATGTGAAATCTGAAATCATTTAGAAATCAAGTTGTGGTTTCATTGTATTTTGACCTATAACTATAAAGCTGTGAAATTGTACTTCATCGAAATGGAGACCATAAAGGACTGGTCTTAGTTTGCATGTGTAATCACATTATACATGCATAGTGTTTGGCATTATTTAGTATGCACATTATTTAGTATGCACATTGATAATCCTCATGGCCATGATTGTAAAATGCAGTTAAGATGCAATTCTCCTCATATACATGAGTTAAAATGAAATCCACCAAACTGGAGAGGATTCAGAGAAGCATTAACCATCACACTACAGATGGTGGAATTCACTCTCGGGTAAGATATGTTGACAACTAGAGTTTTGCTTCTCACAAACACACAACATAACCGTTGAGTATGAATCTTTAACTTTGGTATCAAACTGCTCCCAAATTCTGTGTGAAATAACCACTCTGCTTAGGAGCAATAGGACATAGTGAAGATCAAACTACTATCTTGCATACAGTTCTCTGATAGATTTGCGATGTCCAATTTTGTCTTTACATGTAGACCAAGGTGAAAAAGAATGAAATATAGAGAAGACATCTGGTTACAGTTCCGCAAATTACCGGCACGGTAGGTTTTTGGAAAGATAGTTTGCAGACATGACTTTTGCAGTTTAAAGGCAAGTTCTGGCTGAACAAGTGTTGCTACGGAGGATTGAAACTTGAATTAAAGTCTCAGATACTCTTGCATTATTGCAACTCCCATACTACAACTTTAAAACAACGCTTTGAAAATGGAATTCTTGAGCTGATTTTGGCCTTAGCTCTTTGATTAGATGGTTGTAGGACTGTTATGACTTAATCCCAAGCTCTATTTGTGTTATGAAGCCCGATATCAGTAGTCGGAACGGGACCCAATTTCACGGGGCTGCTTAGCATGTGATTTCACGCTAAGAGAGGCTTCATGTATTTCATGGAGACTGTAAGCAGTAAGCACAGCCAAAGGCATGCTAACCTTGGAGGAAAAAATGTTGCTTAAACTTAGTGACATAACAATAGAAATCTTAAAGCGGGTGCAACTGTTCCCTCAACCACGCCAAGCACCGCCTTGAATCAGTGCTTAAGGTAAGCACATTTTTCTGCCAAAATTAGCACGACTTTCTACAAACTGTTAAGAAGCTCCATAAAATTGGGCCCTGGAGCTGTTGCCTTCTTAGACTTTGAAACTTGCAGCCAGAGAGAGAGAGAGAGTGCCACAGCCATTGGCAAAATCAAAGACCTAAAGGGTTATACAAGTAAAAAGTTACCAGCAATCTATCTCATGCTGTGGCAGTAACACAATACGTACATGATTAATCTTCCCCATTAAAATGTGTTCATCCAATCAAAAGATTTTCAAAAAAAAGGCAGTTCTTTTTTTCTGACGGGAATATATATAACATTTGGAAGCCCTCGGTTGGCACTTTGAGCTATATAGTTATCATGCATATAAAGTACTTTCCACCTGTTCGGAATTTTTACTTGGACTTTTGACTCTCTAATGCTTATCCATATTCATATAAAGACCAGCTCTTAACTACAGTTGAACCTCATTAATAAGAGGTCCTTCAGACTTTTTTATAACAGGGACTTTGTATTGTCAGGAATGAAGACAACAACAAGGATCGAATCGGGACCTCAAATTTTCCCTGCTATTAAAGTTGTATTAACAATGCTCTTATTAACGAGATTCAACTGCAATTACCCGTGAATAGGTTCAGCAATTATACAACTAGGTTTAAGACACAAACTTCAAAATATGTAGAGTCCCAACATTTCCTAGTCTATTACAATATTTCTCAGTGTACATATGTTAGTTTGATAGTGGACATGAACCTTCCTATCAGAAAGTAAATGTCATACATGGCAGTGTGCATTACAGTCACAGTCTGGTAGGTTGTATTGTCTACCGCTAACCCACGTTATCACATAAGGGCACTTGGTATCAATTGTCCATTTCCATTGCCTTAGGGCAAACCATTGAAAACCTAACTCATGAATGTGAATACTGCTCTGTTGGAAATCCATTCTCACCAAGCATGGGAAAAAAAGAAAAATGATACACTACAATCAATCACAAAAGATTCAATATTCTCAACCTGTTTCTTTGTGCATTTTACTACGCTCTGTCTTGTACACAAGTTACCAAACAGTTTTTGCTAAAATCAGCCCCCCCCCAAAAAAAATCCCTAAAAGCATAAAACCCCCAAATGCTAAAAAAATTAAAATGGAACAATCATGCAACATTTTTCCAAGTTCGTACAAAACAAGTCTTATTCTTTTCAGTATTTTACGGATCATATAAAAAAAATTTCAGTGGTCTGTGAGGGGGAAAAAAGTCTTAAGCTGCATGTAAAAACCACTGCAGTTCTTAAGAATTTCAAAGGGCAACTTCTTGATAATTCTCTCTCTTGAAAGACCACACATGCAGTTAACCAGCAGGCTTACCATTTCTCTTCAATCTTCCAATCAAAATATTCTACTCATAGCGAATAAATTGAATTACATTTTTTTAAGCACCATGGGAGGAAAATATCATCTTCTGAATTGCACTTTATTCCAAAATATCGTAAGAAATAATAAAAAGTATTATTTAGAGAGATTGGCAAAGCTGGCTGTGAGACATGAATAGTTATATCAAGATTCTAAAACCATCACCAAAGTGATGAATGAATGACATCTGTAAAAAAGAGTATACTCCTTGGCGCAGATGGGCCAGTTTGATCAACTTTAGCTGTCAATAGTGAAATTACACTAAACAATCCCAGAAGATGAGGTGTGAAAATCGGAATAGAGATGGATCAACAATGAACATTAGGAAGTTCACCTGTTCTCGGAGTGCTGTATTGAAGATATTGAAATCTGCCAAAATTGTAGAAAATATGAAGAGAAAAGGCATTTTCTTTGGGGGGGGGGAGATAACATGCACAGTTTCAAAATGGTGCTAGATCTACACAGACTTTGTGGTAACCTTTAATCATCTGGTTTTGCAACCAATGTTCTTATGGTAAAGAGAAAAGTTGTTGAACGCGCATGCAGGAACGTCCATGAAGCTAACAAACATTGCATTGGTGACTCGCTACATAATTACTGAAATCATCTTTTCACGTCAGTTTGCTGTGCTCTACTGTGATAAACTTGACAAGTGGAATCACAGCCAATCTTTTACTGCAGCCACTAGAACCATGAAAGGTGGACATCAGCAAAGAAAAAGCTTAAAAGAATTTAACGAGACATTGTGTCTGGGCACCCAAATAAGACTATTAAACCAGGCAACATTTAAAGACAATTGACACTGCATGTGCCCAAGTCTGAAAGTTTGCTTCAAAATCACATTTTAAAGTCTTACACAAAAAATAACTCTCCCACCACTGTGAGTACTTCATAGGCTTTAATATACAAAGGAAACAAACAATTTTGGTTTTGAACTTCCAATCTCTGCCCTCCGCCACAAACTGCATAAAAAATATCGTGAAAGCATTATAAATGAATTTTTCAAAATTTTTGGAATCAAAAGTACATGTTGTACATGTATATTTAGTGTAATCAAATGCACACACACGAATAGGATTATTGTTTTGCATTGCATTATATACTACATTATAAAGCTTTAAAGACAGCAGAATATCTAAGAGCAATTCAAATTATTGAGCCAGTTGTGGGGAATGGAATGTCAGTGGTACCGAAGACATGACTGTTTCCATATTGGAACCAGTATAACACAGAGCACCTGACTGGGCTGCCAACACCGAGTTAGATTTGAGTTTGAGGGCAAAGATACAGCTATAGCTTGGGTACGGCTGATTTGCGTCATCCATCCACAAACCATCTACCAGATTGCATTGGAAGCCAGCCAGAACTTTTCTTCCCTTTTTTTTTTAACTGGAAGCAAGCTTACAGACTGCGGAATATTTTAATTCCACCATCAGGACAGGAAACACAAGCATTCAGCAAATTACTTTTTACTGTTTTTCATGAGGTTTTTGGTGTGAGAAACCCCAGATGAGATTGAGAGTAACCCCAGTGTGCCAGACTCGCACTCGGTGCAAATGAGTTGGCAGCCCTTTCTGTTAAAACTCTTTGCACACGTAATCCAACCAAATGGTCCGGAAGTAGTGCACCTTCTGAAGGGGTACTGGCCTTGAAAACAATTTCAAAGCTCAGCAGAAATCAACATGAACTACACAAATGTTCACCCACACAGTATCAGATATTGCAGTGTGATAACAGAAGTACACGTATGCTGAGCAAATAACGAACAACATAAAAGTTTGTTATCCATACCTGCTTCCTTTTCCGGCCTCATTTTTTTTGTTTTATCTTTTTTCCCTTTTGTTTACATTTGCATTGAATTTTATTGTTTTTTAATATGGAACACAATATTTACCAATAAATGCAAGTTTAAAACCTGTTGAACATGGCAGGAGCTTTAGACACAAAAAGTGTTTGCAAAGGAGACAAGAAAACCCATCCAACATCTTCCAAAAATCTACCATAAAAAAGGCTGCTCTGTCCCCTCCATACAGTAAAAACTGTATGAGAAACTTCATTTTTTTTTAATCAGCCCAGGAGCTGAGTAAGCTCTTTCTAATGCAGAACATCCTTTACTCTCATTGCTAGGATCTGATCCCGGGTGTTTTTGTCAGTGGACATCATTTTTGTAACGATATTTGAACGTGTACTACCAATGCACCTTCAACTTATCCTACTTTTTAACGTCTGTACTCATAAGTACTTGTTTAGAATGCTGAAGTGACACCATGGTTGGCATAGTCTGACTGCAATGATGGCGTAGCATGGTTTAACAAAATAAATGTGATTACAGTGCTTCTTAAGCATGGTTAAATAATGGATATATTTTTTAGTAGAAAACTGGTTTAGCATGGCTAACATGGTCTAACCTGGAAACCAAGCCGACATTTTAAAAAGCAGAAGCACCACCATACAAATCAACACACATCCGGGCTAAAGTTTCACTGGCTACCAGATCCATGCGAGGTTTGACCTCCAAAACATGCCTGGCAACCAGTGAAATTCCATTTCTGAGACATTTGGGGAAATTGCAGATGTGTAAATGCAGTAGAAATGACTATACAGTGATACATGTATGAGGCCCCTCTACAACTCCAACTGCCCCACCTTCGATTTTTGGTTCAGTCTACCCCTCCAACAACCCTCACTGCCATGGTGAGGGTATGTATCTGTCATTGTTGTATTCAAGTCCATTGTAAGTCCATCACGAGTCATCCAGTCTTAAGCCAATTCAAGAGCTATTCAAATGAACTGTGACACAAGCATTCTTTTGTCATCGTTCACCCTGCTACTTATGACTGGCCTTGTGAAGGGATTTGTGACTGGACTTCTGATGGGCTCGAATACAACGCTGGTATCTGTCCTGCTGGGCAGTGACAACATTCTCTCACTGGATATTGTGTGGAGGGAAGTTTGAAAATGCCATGTGCTTCTGTCCACAGGTTGTTCATAACTTTGCTTAGGTGTGCGGCTGTGGAAAGCCTTGCTGCAGTTACCAAGCTCAGGCATGGGGGCAGGAAAACACGGTAGAGGTAAGTTTGTATGATTAAAGTTAACTCCCCTGAATTGGGAGTAGACCTATGAAGGTTCTGTCAATGGCTACTTGAATCCCAGAGGCCATGGTCCTGCTTCTACAGTTTGTCGAATTGGTACATTTCCTCCGCCTTTCCAGAATTCCTTTTGGACATAACTGCACAACATCACACCTTTAAGATACCTCAGTTTCATAAGTCAAAGATTAAGGTTAATAAACCAGCTTGGAAATTGATCACAATCTCTGTCACGTCAGTCTGTGTCTCGCTTTCTCTCTTGATCACCAATGGTAGAATTGGTGGGATCAAACAAAGCAATGATCAACAGCATGTACAGACTGATAATCCCATTCAAGAGTTGTGGGCTCTAGGGTTAGACTGAACCAAAAGTGTAGGGGAGGGGTTAAATTAACAATTTCCACAACAATACACACTGCCTTTAAGGATGTCTTTTTAAAGTCTGTTATTGCAGGGATATTAAAATGACTTTGGTATAATTGGTAAACAATGTACATGTACTTGATATTGGGAGGATAAAAAAGGCTGGTAAATAAAAGTTTGCATTTCATGGCAAAAAGTGGCAGAATAAACTTGAAAACTGTCACTAAAATTCACATTAAATGTAGGTACTTTTGTCCACTTATTGCAGACATCACAAAAAGTATTAATATCTTTAACTCCTCATAATTACCGTACCTCACAGCTCCAAAGAGCTACATGTACCCTTCCTGTAAATAACTGCTCTATTACATCATAAAACATTCAGAAAATGCATTTTGAGAATAATGTTACCAAACCTTTTTACCACTGGTTGAGGTGGCTATATGCAATGCACGAAAGCATTATGACATTTGGCATGAAGGACTCGTCCTCAAATACAATTCACAAAAGACTAAAAATTTCAAAGTTTAACTGCTTTTCTGGCTTTCAAACCAATCCCATAGTTCATTGGCTCCATGGCAACAGGACGCTTACATACAATTCTTATTTTAGTGACAAAATACAGGCAATCTAATGGTCAATGCAGACTCTCTTGGCAAGCGGCAAGTATATATAGCGAGCTATAAATAATGACATCATCTGAACTTTAAATGTATTTGATTCAAATATGTAAATTGAAGCTAGATACAATAAACTTTAAGGTGTAAAAGAAGGTGGACACATTTGCTACACTATGGAATGATAAATTTGTTAAAAAGTTCAGTAACTTGGTCATTTGGTAACTGAATTCACTGTGTACCAAAATATGGTAGTGGAAAATGTTACTCATTATGTTGTGTGTGTTCAAACCAAGTCCTGCTTTATTTGGGAAAAAAAGAACCAATAAAGACATCTTTACAAGACTGTCATTGCTTGATTGCATCTGGGGCAATTGGAGCTCGACTGATGCGGCAGCTCTTGGAGGAAAAAAATAACAACGTAAAAACAGAACTAAAAACAAATCCCAAAATGCAAAAATGGCATTTACAGAAAAACACATACAAGTAGTGTGTTTGACCTTCAGTAAACAATGGACCATTGAACACAAACATAGCCTGATTTTGTACTCCAAGCAAGAGTGAATTCACTCCGGTACGAGCATCATGATGGAACCGGAATTAAGGATGTCACGGAATCTGTTTACTCTCCCATGCAGTACGGATCAACACATACAGTTTGACTGCTATGACATACATGTATACAAAAATGTTGTGTGTCTAAGTTACGTACATTAAAATTACAATAACTACATACAATACTTCTACATATGGCACTAATACAAGTTTTACTTGCAAACTTCTGAACATCTCTTCATACAATCAGCTTAAAAGCACTGCTCTGTATTACATGTAATTATATCGTTTCAATTGTTAAGTGTTTTTATACTCTTGTATCTCACAGTAAATGCTTTAGAGTGTCAGCCTGATGTCCTCAAGTTGGACACTTTCCCACAGGCATTCGAGAAGTGGCTTAGTTTGGCCAACTACCAAGACGTGGATGTTACAGATGTCTCGTAGCACAAACTTCTGTACAGAACAAGAGTTCCACTGTTTATACTTTGTATGTTTCACACTGTACAATCAGGTCTCCACGTTGCTATCTTTTGTCTCAATATTTACATTTCCTCTTTGCTGATGCACCTAATGCAGTAAAAAAAGACTTTCACCCAGTTCATTGAACCCCTTATTGGAAAACATTGTGCGTTTCTTTTTCCTTACCAAGAAAGAATCTCTTCACTCAATTCCGTGGTCAGAAATGAACAACACAAGTTTGTGTCGATTTTTGATTTGTCCTGGAGATGGTAGAATTCACTCTATCTGCGCCGATCAGATGCATCCACAAAGCTACCATTGTCTCTATCGCCTTGACAAGATTCACAGAAATGTATGCCTTGCTAAAATCACAACCATCATTCCACAACACACTTAAATGGAACATTCCATTTATATCTTTTGCATATTTTACAAGCAAAAAATTTAAATTATAATTTTAGAGTGCACTACAATCTTGCATGCACGTTATGTAGTAGTCATGTCATACATGAAGTAAACAACTTTGGTTTTAGGGTTAGACCCAAATTTTATTTAAAAAAAAAGAATAATTTTGCTAAATACTAGTTAATGCAGTAGTCTACTTCTGCACCATCACGGATACAATCAGACATCCAATGAAAGAACCACTGTAATGTCACATGACTTGTATCCATGGAACATTCACCGAAGCAGCCATCTTCCCTAGGCATCAGTCAGATGCATTTCTTTCTCAGCACACACTTGCAGCTTTTTCCTCAAAAAAGTGACAATACATATAGATGTTTAGATTAAGAATCAAACATTGCTGAACTCTAAATGTATTGATAATGCATATACATGTACATATGCACCCTGTACAAAATGGACTTTTTTACCAGTTTCCTTCTGCAAGACATGCATAACTAGAAACTACCAAGATTTCTGAAGATGATTTGAATACATGTATTTGTAACCTGCTCGTAGAAAATGACTTTAAAAAAAAATTCAAATTCTGATGTTTAAAAATCATTTGAAAATGAGATCTGTATGTAGCTAATGATTGGAAAGTTTTCACTACATGTACTGTACTATGCAAAAAAAAAGATCTTTGAAATGTTGCTGAACCTACAATTGTTAAAAGATTTAAAACTAGTCCTACATGTATATCTGTGAGAAAAGTTGTCAGCAAATAGTTCTTGGCAACGTCTGTTTTGTGAGAGCTGCTCAGCCCTGTTAGGCCCTTCTTATCCACATACATTAACCATAATTAGCAGGAGTTGGTCTGAATTTGATTCAGACACCCCTTCTTTTTGGTACAACATATCAATACTATGGTTTAGAAATCTGCTAGCACAAACTGACCCTGGTTGGGTTTCAAGCATGGTCAATAAATCCACTCCACACCAACATTCTTATTACAGAACTCACAGCAGTTACTATACGTGTCTCATTTTTCACGTTGTTGAAGCGCCACGTGCAGTGTAAGCTTCGGAGATGAATGGCCTTGGCTTTGCAGCCTCCAAATGCAATCCTAGGGTGTCAAAGGTCAAACATGGAGCTTTTAGCAATGCCTCTTGCTGGAAGTTTTCAACGAGCTGAGACTTTGTCTACAGTGCCTTCCTCTATAACCAGCTCACAGCTCGTTGTCACGTCTGCCTGTAATAAAAACTTTCTTTCACAACAAAAAGTGAACTGTTCAAGGGAAAAAGGGATGCAAGGTTAAATGCACATCAATATCTTATTGGTTTTTAGTGGAAGACAACAATAAAATATATGGCTGGAGTTAATCTCTTATCAAAAGCAGAACCACTACCGTTGATTGTTTTTCATTTACAAATGAAAATTTATGCAAACCATTCTGACTAATATGGTCACATTTTCAATCAAGTAAATTTATTGAAATTTGGCAGGAATTTCTGCTAAATGTTTTAACAGTAAAATCATGTTTAACATGCATTCTGTGATCCAGCCCTATATTTTAAAGCTTTATTTCTAAGTTGTTGTGTTAGTACACAATGGAATAAACTTAGCTTCGCCAAGATGGCGGCTGCATAGGCTGAGAACCAGTGGAGTTGCTTCTCTGGATGTAGGCAGAATGGGCGTAACTCCCAACTAGGTTGACATGCTCTGGGGCCTGTGGGTTCAACATACCCAGTGCCTGGGAGACCGGGTGCATCATGTTGGGTGTGACTGCTCTCAAGCCTTGCATGAGTTGGGCGTGCGACACGCCTCTAGACATCCAGGACAGGGCTTCCGAATTGCGTTGGTGCCACTGCTCCACCTTCTCATGCCTGGTAGGGTAGTCAGAGTGGGCATTAGGGGAGTGCAGAAGGGGCCCAAATGGGGACCCGGGCTTCTCCAATCTCAGTGGGTGATCACTGGCAGAGTGCATTCCCGGGTTATGGAGGATGTGGGCATAGGGTTGCTCAATGCTGCTGGTTGCTGATGAACTGGGGGTCTGGGAACGGCTTGCTGTTGCTTGGTGCTGTTCCAGTGTGGAATGCTCAGGGTATGGCGGAGACATGGGCGTCAATTGTTCACGCACCTCGTGGCTCTGTTCTTGGTATGTCTGGGTGATTGGGGTCATCTGCTCCTGGACATCGTGCGTTGCGTCGGAGTATGCCTGTGGAATTGGGGTCAGCTGTTCACAGACTTCTCGTGTGGGCTGGTCATGCTTGCGGAATTGCTGTGGTCCTCTGGTGAGATGGTCATTGAGTTCTTGGCTTCGCTCGTGGTACTGCTGAATCAAGGGGGGAATCTGCTTTGGAATTTCAGGGTTGGCCTGTGGTTGGCCATAATCTTGGTGGTTATCGTGAGAAGCGGACATCTCACAAGGGGGCTGGCGGTCGCAAGTTGGATGTGGAGTAGAGTGGAGTGGTTTTTGCTCGGGTGTTGGGTGGCTTTCAGGAAGCTGGTGGTGGGGCTCGTTAGACAAGTGGTGGTTGTGAGTCGAGCGATGATCATGTGACTGTGGGTGGTCATGCGATGAGTGGTGATCGTGAATCTGCTGATGGTCGTGCGATGGGTGTCTATCTTGAACTTGCTGGTGCTCATGGTGGTTGTGAGTTGGATGATGATCCAGCACTGTCTTGATACTAGGAGATGTGTGAGTGTTGGCAGGTGAACTCCCTGGACTTGGTGTCTCGTCCTCACTCTCTGAGGGACTCTGAGCTGGTGGTATCTGCTCCACTGGTGATCCATGAATAGCCGGAATTTGTGGCATGGGAGGGAATGCGAGGGGGGCAAGTCTCTCCCTGGCAAACTCAACTGCCGCCTGGTACAGATCAGATTGTATCTGCACCTCGGCAGCTGCAGCCCGGGATTTCAAGCGGATCTTTGGTGGGGGTTTCTTCTTAGGCTCTCCCTTGGGCCGTCCCAGGGCCACAATGGGTTTGGTCTTGTCGCTCTGCCACATGTCAATGCCGTGCGCCGTCTTCTTGTGGGTCTTGAGGCTGACGTTGTGGGCGAAAGCCTTCTCGCACAAGTCACACTGGTACGGCTTTTCACCAGTGTGAGTCCTCATGTGAATGGTCATGTTGGAGTGCTGAGTGAAGCCACGGCCACAGTTACTGCAAGTGTACGGCTTCTCTTCCTGGTGGATGATCTTGTGCCGGTCCAAGTAGAACTTCTGCTTGAACTTCTTGTCGCACTGGTCACATGAGAACACCTTCTCGCCCCGGTGACGCCCCATGTGATGCTGGTAGGATTTGGGGGTGAAGAACTCCTTGAAGCAGGTTTGACACTTGTAGGGTGTCTTACCAGCCTTGACATTCTGATGCCGGATCAGGTGGTCCTGCAAGGTGACCTTATAGGCAAACACCTTGCCGCATTCCTCACAGGAGTAGGTCTTTGGTTGTGAGTGTTTGATAATGTGGCGGGACAGCAGGTCCCGCCTGTGGAATGTCAGTCCACAGAGGTCACAAAGGAAACGTCGGAAGTTGCTATGCAGGTCCATGTGGGAGGTCAGGTGGGCAGTGGTGCGGAATTTCTTGTTGCAGGTCGGGCAGGCGAAGGGCTTGATGCCTTTGTGGCCCCGCATGTGCTCCTTCAGCTGGTACTTGCGGGGGAACGTCATGTCACAGTGTTCACAGGCCAGGATCTTGTTGCCGTGTTGCACCTTGCGGTGAACCCACATGGCCGACTTGGAGCTGAAGGTCATCTGGCAGTCACGACACGTCAGGTTGTCCACAGCATGAATTACCTGGTGGCTGCGCAAGGCTTGACGGTCTGCAAAGATGCGACAGCATTTTTTGCAGGAGTAGCTAGCTGGCTTCTCCTTCACAGTCAGTTTCTTCAGTGATCTCATTTGTGTTTTCTTGCGGCCCCTCTTTGGTTTCTCCACCTTTGATACAAAAAACATGAAAAGACTCATTAAATTTCCAACAAGCCTATTAGCTTTGTCGTAAAAGTAGTTAACAAAGCTCAACATGTGCAGTAATTACGGCAAATTATTAGGCAGACAAACACCTGTTATTTCATTTTTAGTGTAATGTTCCACAGTTGAGTACCTTTCCATGTCACAATATATATAAGTAAACAAATGTGCTAGTAGTACTGATCCCATGATGGGGAACCAACTTTTTATTCTGGACAATGCAGCATCATCTCTGGTGGGGGATGTGACTACCACAGGCTTGCATGTGCTCTGACGACTGCAGTATACTTTATGTCTTGCACAACACGGACCTCCAAATTCCAATTTACCCATGGATATCACTTGTGCAGAAACTGATGGTGTGCAGTTATAAAACTTTGTTCAAGGAACAGCCTGGACCTATTTTACAGAGCTCTTTAGCAGATAACATTGTCTGGCGAATGTTATGCTCTCAGCAGACTTCAGCTGAGATCCAGATACCAGCTCCATAACTTTGGGTACATGTAGTTATCTCTTGCATACTAAGCAAGAATTTTATACACTTAGTGAATCTTTGTGATCAGTAGTTTAACAGAAAGGGTTAGTATGTAAGATAATTGTACAAAGTATTTAGACTTACTACTGGCTCGACTTTTAGTGGTTTCAATTTCAGCTTGAGGCGTGGGCGTAGCTGGCGCGGTGCGTCAATATCAACGCAAATGATGGGAGCAACATCCTTGATGGCTACAGGGGGTGACCCTCGTCTCCTGCTGCGACCTCTTGCCACTATTCCACCTTCTGTCAATGAAAGTTCCTCCTCTTTGATGGTGACTGTCTTTGTGTGACTGTCTGGGTATGATGATGATGATGACTTGGTCTCCTTTGGGGTTTCTTTGGATTGCTGCCCTGGGTCACTGTCACGGTCATTGTCCTCCTCTTCAGTGGCATCTTCGTCGTCGTCATCATCGTCATCGTCATCACCCTCCTCTGACTCACCACTAGTGTGGGAGTCGTCTCCTGCATTGCCTTCAGCTGGGAACTCTGAAGGCTTGATTCTGCCAGGGTGAAAGATTCAAATAAAAATTCAACACTTTTATTTTTGACTCCTATTCTGGAGCTCATGGGTGTGTTGTTTGACATCGTTCTATTGACATGCTACATGTATTTTTCACTATTTTTAAAAGTTCCATTCTGGTACTTCAGACTGTGAAAATTGGTACTTCCTACCAGTTTCAGAGACTAATGAAGATAAGAACTGAGTGTGAGCTATGTTTATATCCTCCTCTTCTCAATTCCAAATTTGATTTCTTCACAAAATCAAAATCAAAAGACAATTTTGATTGGAAACATGAACAACCATTCCCACAAACAAATGTCAGGAGTAAAAAAAAAACCAAAATACCACATCACTAGCAAACTGAACACAGCTAACAGCAACCCTGTAACTCTGACATGAGGTTTCTAACTCATCTTGCAACACATTAATGGCAAAGGCATATTCCATACTGATTTGGCTTTGTGTCAGGACACTACACTAGCCTGAGTACCAAATTAACACTTTGCTTTGGATGTCTCCAAAAGTATGCAGAAAACTGTAGGTTCCAATCCCACCCGAGCAACCACATTGAAAATACTAAGCGAATATTCATGTTGGTGTAAGTGTAATTTTAACCTAAAATAAAACATCTTTGTTAATTAATTTTTTTCTTTGTAATTAACTCTGCAACTATTTTAGCTATTGGTTTATCTGTAGCATGTGTGTGCACTACCCACCATTCATTAGTCTGGACAAATTCATCATTTGGGTTCAAACAATTAACATCTTCATCAGTGCTCGATGATGGTAGTGCATGTGTTTCTGAAGTCTTATGGCCTTTGGCTAACCTGAGATGCTGCTCTGCCACTTCAATCAGCCAGTGAATAAAGTCTGGGCTCTTGGTGTATCCTGACCGCTCTCGGATGGCATTCCATCGTGGCACATCCTCTTTCTTGATGTATATCCGATGCTGGACACCTGCTGAAGCATAGCCCCTGGCCGACACAGGCTTGTACCCTCTCTTCCCAAAGCGAGGCATGACGACACTGATCCTGACAAACTGTGGAGTCAAAATGAAAGATGGGCAAACTGCCTACTTCCAGAACTGTAAGGTTTATACAACCCCCTTAGAATCATGTCTAATCCCTATACACACTCTAGATTATTGCTACCCAACTTCCTCCCTAGATATCTGTAAAGAATTCCTGAGATTCCGATCAAACAGTGACTAACACAAAGGTGAGGGGATCCCTCCATCCCATATTTTTGGTCATGTTGAGGCCAGTGCACACCCTTTCCTAGTGAACGCATTTCCACTACTCTGATGACTGTTTCCAGTACGTGTAATGTGTTGTCTAATGAAACAGCCCGTCCATGTGACATATGAAATAAGAGACCAACTGTAATTAGTGAATGTCACCAGCACACCATTCAACCAATAGACATTTTTCTTTCATTCAAGAGTGAAAGGAAACTGAATAGAAAGAAATGGGAGCCATGTTGTAATCGTTGAAGCTGCCACACGGCTGACAACTATGACCTTTCAACTGAAACGACCGGGTTAGCTTGGCAGGCAGTCCTGGACATGGGTGTGAGTAAGGAAAATTCTCCTAAATTTCACCACTTTAAATGGTATAGTGTAAATTAACCCCCCATCCCATACAAAATTGTATCCCGGGAGACCTCATTAAATTATTGGGGAAAAATTGGCGTAACACCATAGACATTTCATACAAACCAAAGAAGCACCATCTCAGATATGACTATTTAAATGTATGTATGTACATGTACATTGCTATCTGTACGGTTTGTATAAATACAGTTCTGGAAGTACAAATTGCCAAAGCAACTAACGTGATGCCGTTCACTCTCCCCAGGTCAACGCTTTTGCATAGGCTCTAAAATATGGCCCACAATATGGAGGCAACCCTTAAAAAATTAAATAAATAAAAAAAAATTAAGGGAAATTTCAAACCAGTACTAGAATCTGAATATTTTGTTTGCTTCTTCTGGCAATAAAATTTGACGACAAACCTTACAAATTTATGTAATGGGGTTTGCCCTTACCCAACGTATATATTAAAACATCTTGAAAACCTTACAAAGGTAACAAATGAATCTTTGACAAGTGCAGGGGTGCAGATGGCAAGTGAACAGGACCTTGCCTGAGGCCTAACTAAACATGATGTTGATTAGTCGAGTTACAATGTAGCACTATCAGATCGTAATTCCAGAAATGATGAGTGAGAGAGATTACTAGGCGTTCATCATTTTCAAGTGATCTTAAAAATAAACCTCGGAATTTAAATTTTGGTCAGAGATCCTTAAATCATGTCTATCATTTGCTTTCTGGAAATGAATGGGCATGCCACAGTTTCGCAGATAAATCCTGCGCGTCTTAAAGACGTTAGCGTAGATCTCAAGACTCAACTTGAAGTTGAACATGCTCAAGCCTTCAAGGATACTGCGAAGGATCACTCGCCCCCTTTTCGTTCTACATCGACGATCTTCCCGTATGGCAAACTTACCAACCAAGAAGACGTGGGTAAATGTAAGCTACATGATCAAGAAAACTGCATGACGCCTGCAAAGACCGCTGTGAGCTGGAATTTTGCGATTTTTCTGCCAGCAAAAATCCGTCACGCCTATCCTGAGATTCCCATGTTTTGCCTTGCACACGTAAACCAGACATGAATAACTGGTAACCTTCGCAGCCCAAGCTTTCCTGAATTATACACGTCACCGCACGAAAAACTACCCGAATACCAGTGAACAGGTCGGGGTTTAAACCATAGACTTGCCACAAGCTTACCCTTTGTTTTGGATTTTCCCAGCGAAGTTTGAGTTACAGTTTAAACTCGAGACTGATAAGTTATAACATACAGAGGTGGGAGAAATGTTTTACTCAGTTATCAAAATTGAATGTCAGACTAAATTTTTTGTTTTACATTATTATTTATTCCTTGTAAAATACAATTAACACAGGTGCTCTATTATTTTAAAAGTGGCTCAACTTTTAGCAAAATGTACACTGATTCAACAGCATTCTGAATATGAAATAATAAAAATATCATGCTTTGTACTGATTTTAACACTGCACACAAGTAAATATATCACAGCTCTGCAGACTCCACTGAAATTACAAATGTTTTAATATTTGTCATGATGTTAATTGTGTATCAAGACCTCCACCCCCCCCCAAAAAAAATTAACTCCAAATTATAACCACTAATACATTCTCTATTACTAACTCAATACACAGTATGAGACTTGGACACAGTTGACGATTACATGAAGTGGCCTAACTACAGGGGGAATGGGGGGACATGCCCCAAGCAAATGTCTGTGCCCCCTCCCTGGGTGACCCCCACCCCCCATTGGAAATCCATGAACAACCTTTGCTGCAACTTGTTGTCTTTTGGTGTCCCCTTGTAAAAAACTTGTGCACCCCCTGGCCATATACATGCAATAGCTCTAGTTACATCACTGATGATATGGGCCATCAAGAGAGATAAAAATATTGTTCTCCACACTGTTTGTACCTGATAATTGGTGACATATGGAATGACAAGAAAGAATGTTGTAAACAGAGCTGGCTGACCTAATACATGTAGTATATAGGGTTATTACAAAAATACGCCCCCTTTTACATCCCACTGGCCACTCCCCCAATGCATTTGCTTTCACAGCAGTCGGTGCCATACTACAACGGCAGATTCAAACAGCCAAGTAAATTCAAGGTCAAATCCATGCAATATTATATAAATCTAAGGTCTGTTTAACATCCTGCTCCAGGAAGTTTCAGGCAGCGGCTAATATGAAGATATTTTTATATTTGAACAAAAATGTGTAGCTCTGCATGTCGTCTTTAATGCCAATGTTGTCAGCTGGTTTTCAACCTTGAACTTTACCAAGCAAATCTTTTTCGAAGCAGGTCTAGGAAATCTATCCCACGGATGCAACTTCATACACTAAAATTATTGATGTTTTGTACTCGTGTCTCAAACACTTTCAAATTTCAGTTTCTTCACACTCAGCTATCGTTAGCTTGTCAGCCTACCACATATAATCCACCGACTAACTACTTCCTAAAGAACCATGAGTTTTAAGCAGCTCACAATCAGATTTGTTGGTAGTGTAACTTGATTTGATTTGTCTCTGTTGTTTGTACAATCTCTCAACAGGTCACATGCATGTTGCATCCTTCAATGCTTAATAGGAGCATTTTTATAAATTAATAACATTCAGTGTTATACATTCTTGTAATATCGAGGTAATTTAATACGTCAGGGTGATCAGTCAGAAAAAAAAATCGAAGCATGCACACATAGAGCAACCAGCAGTCACATGAATCAAATATCAAACCAAAGACTATTCCTTCACACAGAATATCAGAATTATTTGTTGGCGTTGAACATCTGTATTTCCACGAATTCTCCCAAAATATCTTATTCTCTATCAGAGCTTCTCAAAACTTTGACATCAAGAGTACAAGTAACTGTCCCAAATTCAAACTTCAATGGAGTCTTAGTTTGACTTTCACTGTGCTAACATGTTGACTACAACTTCTGCGATTTCCCGCTCCGTTGGCACGCACGATGCCATGTTAAACACCTGATTCTGGGTCAATGCACTGCACGATGCCAGCTGAAGCTTCATGTCTTCCAAGGTGCTGCAGCGCAAACCGCCCTCTAGTGTCATGTTAGGATGAGGTTGTTGATGTGATTTGCGGATGTGCGCATCCAGCATGTGGTCCTGGGGGAAATGCTTCCCACACAGGTGACACACGTGTACATGCACGTCAGGCTGTTTAAGACTTGTAGATATTGAAATAGGGTCAGCACATGCTGTGTTGATAGCACACAGGGTTGTCGCTGGGCTGGGGTTAAGTGAGTTAGTCAGCTGAGAGTGTTTGCTCTTGATGTGAGCGTTGAGTGTACCACTCTGAGTGAAACCCTTGCCACACTGGTGGCACAGGTGAGGCTTCTTGCCTGTGTGGACAGTCTGGTGCCGGGCCATATCGGAGGGATTGGTGAACGCCTTGGGGCAATTGGGACACTTGAACGGGCGCTCGCCTGTGTGGATGCGCTCATGGTATTCCAAGCCTGTATGCCATCGGAAGGCCTTGGGACAATATTTGCAGAGGAATGGCTTGTCTCCGTCATGGATGCGCATGTGCTTGTTCATGCTGATGCTAGTCTGTAACTGGATGCCGCAGATGTGGCAGATAACGGGACGCTCGCGGGCCGGCGAAGACGTCACATCCGGGTGCTTGGCAGCGATGTGCTGCTTCAACTTGCACAAAAAGGGGAACGTAGCTTTGCAGTGGGAGCACTTATTCTCCGATGCTTTGCCACGGAGCTCTTGTAAGTGGCGATCGTAGGTGGCCTTGTGGACGAACTTGATACCGCAGCCTTCACACAGGTAACGCCGCTCTAGTGTCGATTTGGTGCTTCTCCTGGTTAAAACCTTTTGCTGTTTAGGTTTCCTGCAAGCAGAGGCCTTGTCTGCCTTCCGATGTTTCTTCTCCTTCCTCTTGATGTCTTTGTAACTGTGCTTGATGTTCGATTTTGGGGACGACGCAGCGAGCAAGTCTTTTTCTTGAACTGGTTTTCTTTCATCTACCTCACGGTCCTTTGACGACTGCTGCTCAGGATTTACTTGAAAAGGACCATTGCTGTTTAGAGCATGAGTTTCATCAACTTCGGGAGCTGAATTCCTGTTAACCAGATTACACCCATGGTGTGCACAGCAACACAAGTTGACTTGGACTCCAACGGAAACAGTCGACTTCTGGCCATAGTCACTGCTTGGCTCAGTGGTGCCTGAGAACATGCTGGTTCCCTGCGTCACGTCTGCCTGGCTCAGTGCTGGTAATCCGATGGTTGCCAGCATGTCATGGGGACCAGTCATTGTAATTCCGTTTGGTGTGGAAATAATATTACTGTTTGTGTAATCATCCGGGAAAACTAGCACGTGTCCATCACTGGCTCCCGTCAGACCATCTGTTGTGACAGTCACAGGCGTGGCAATGCTCATTGCTGTGGCCGTATCCATTTCCATATTTACAACTTTCACTGGTGCTATTCTGACTGGCAAGGTCTCACTTCTGAACTGCAGTCAGCATTTTGTAGAACATGTAGTTTCAATAACCATGACCACTGTCTGGATGGTAAAAGAAACAATGGACAAAAGAAAAAGGCTGTGACTACACGAATATGCACTCTGTTGCATTTGCTGTTGGAGGCCCAACTTTGACCAACCATGTCCCTTATTCAAACCAGGAAATTTATCGTCGCACTTTTGTAGTTTTCAAAATAAAAATCTGGCTTCTGCCTGATGCTATTATTTTAAAGTTATCAGGAATCTGCATAATAATTTTCAGAAAATTCTCTACACACAAGCCAGTCGGTAAATATATAAAACTTGTAGGTGTATGCGAAATCATCTACCTAGGCCTTTTCCTTCCTCCATGGTCCTACAGAATGATGATCTGGTTTGCAATACGCTAACATTCGCTGTGGCCTTTGGCCGTGACAATGCATTAAAAGTACAAAACTCAGGCCTACCTTGATGTGTTGTGCTTGCTTTAAATGCTGAAAGAAATGCGCATGTAGAGTTATTGTACCGTAGTCCAGTGTTCTTCTGTGGTAGTATCACCAATTCCTTACCCAAATTGCTCAAAATTTACGGACCAAAAAAATCCGAAATAACAGGGAAACGTATATCATCAGGCCTGTTCATTCAATGTAAAACCCCCATTATTCCCCGTCAATAGAGGGCGCTATGTAGAAACTGTGCCCGTTTTGCATAAACTGCATATAATTAATACCTGGCATATCAGAAAGAGAAAAATGCAACTCTCTGATGACTTGGAGAAAGCGTCCAGTTTCTTGTCAAGTTTGGTTGGGTTATCTAATAACTTTTGGAAGAGTGTCTTCCACGGATGATCATTGCGAAGCACCTCACCATTTTGAAGGAGAAAAATGCAAACAGATATGGCACCCTCAATTAAAGGTTGTACGCAGAAATAAAAGTTCACAGGCAGGCAAATTCTGTCCCTTTTCTTTTAAAAACTAAAAAGTAATCAGTGGACAAAAACTTAATTTCGTCAGAGAATTTCAAGGCGGCGAAGGTTGGGTGGTTGTATTTGCCATCAATCCCAAATTTTTAGGTTCTCCCGTGAAATACAGTCAAATGGAGATACCACAGGAATAAAGTTATTCAGTAAGCGACTCTATTTTCAGCATAAAAACGATGTTCATTGTCATGACATTAATTAATCAAAATGAGCACTAGCTGAAGGTGACATGTTGAAATTTTAACATGTTACCAAACGAATGTCCCTCAAAAGTTCAGTCGTTGAGCTATACGAGTAGGCAATGTCAGCCCATTCACCTTGATTTTTTGTCACAGTTCCGCGGCAGCAGCTCACGAAAGGGCGTTCCCTTTCCGCGAAGTTCGTTTTCATAATGAAATGACGAGCCTCGGCTTTTTTTTTCCCATTTCGATCTCGCACATCAGTGAGTCATATTTTGTAAACACAATATTTCCAGAAGAATATGTCCCACTGTTTAAGCATCAGGCTGGTGCGTTGCCGCTGATGCTGCTGCATCATGAGAGTTGCAGCCCGTTTACAAAATGACTATATTTACCGCCGTAGAGCTATAAATTGGCGTCGTCTGGCTGTGAAGGATTTTTAGACTTTTTCAGTCTTGTCGTGAATGGTCATGCACCAATGCTGACACCTCAGTTTGTTGACATCTCATGGAATATTTTTATAGGCCTATAGGCCCACATCTTCAACCCACCAACAATCCGAAGACTTAAACTGGGATAAAATATCTCATGTCATATTATGCCTGAACTTTAGTCGTAGTTTTGTTTCTTTATCTTTTTTGTCGACGTTTCTCGTTGAATCCGCAAAGTTTCCATTCCAAAGTACATTGAATTTATGGCCACATACCCCCATTGTGCAAGGCAAAAACGAGTACCTTTGTAGTAGTGGCTGCGTTAGTATATTTTTCGCTGTGTCACCAGCTCGCATCAGTAATGGCGCTCACTCCTATAAAGATCACAGGTATATACTTTACATAAGAATTGGTCTGCCATAAAAAATAGTGCATGCCCTTTTAGGGAGAATGTTTTTGTCCCGAGAATTTGAAAGAAGCTTTTGTTCGAGGGATAAAAAAGCAAAAGAAAGGCAGTCAGCCAGGCGGACCAATCATGCGCGTTCAAGGCTGCGCCCATAATTTTTTTCACTTTGTAAAGGCAATGTGGTACCAACCAAACTTGCCCCACCTATGGTAATAACGTGTACACCGGGGAAAACACGGTCACAAATTTTTTTGTGAGCTTCCTCATTGGGCGTTTTCACCCACCAAGCAAGTAGGACAAACTTTTCCCGACTGATTTCGTCTCAATTCCGAGCAGTTGTCTCATGATCGTTCCCTCACAGAATTATAAGTTCATTTTGGCAATACTTCATCGTGGGAAAGTTCAGATGGTTTTTAATTAGTTGGAAACAGTGATTTGGAGAAAAATCTTGGGTTTTTTGGGGGGAGGCTTGCTGCGCCCAGCATTGGGCCCCTGAGAGGCTTCGTCATGGCGCATCGCAACTTGGTGTGTTTGTGCCTGGCACTCGCAACATTTCAATTCAAGGTAAGATATTAAGAGCGTCGTTTGTTTGTCTCTTTTACGTCAGGCTTGTGAGATTAATATGTTGCATCCCTGACAGTCCCAAATCCTCTGATTTCAATATGATTTTACATACACCCTAGGGGATTAGTGTTAAAGAGGTCGACAACGATTACGTAATAAGCACCGCTATGAAAGGTATACCATCTCTGTCAGATTTTACAGATTCTTAGTTTGTAGAAGGAAAGTTTTAACATAACAGAGATATTCTGCCCTTCATTTTGGGTTATAATTCAAAAGGAAATTAATACACAATTATAGATGAATGTTTTGCAAGTAACATAATTATCGACATAATTAATGCATAATATTTTGATCTCCTCTGCAAAGAGTGTTCTACCTGTGTGTTTCTTGAAAGTCCACTTGCTAAACACACCTTGTCCAGTCTGTAGGATTAGGTCTAATGTTTGTGAGAACCTTTATGATACAAACGATATCAAAAAGTACTTTGTCAGCATTGTAAAAGAATGTCATTACTTTTATGTAATAGAACTAAATCGTCTCATAATTATGTATGGGAAATAAAATCCGCACCACCTCTTGGCCTGTTACCGACTCAAAGAATATCGAAGCCTCCAGCTTTTGGGGGGAGTCGGAACTATTTTTGTTAAACATTTCCTGAATATTTTAGTGTCTTTTTATGATTAAGTCGAATTTGATCTCGCATTAATTGTGGGCCGGGGCCACACCCTTTATTGTCACAAACCCATCCCTCCCTTTTCTTGATTTGTAAATAATCTGACCAATACAGCTTTATCTTCTCCAAAGCTGAAAAGCAACCCCCCCAAAAACCCTACGCTGTTATCTTCGAAGCGTTCTTCACAATCTTAATCCTGTCCTAGAAAGTTTGAAATTTTTAGTAATAAATAAATTATTGTTAGAATAAATGTGCCTTAAATTAACATGAATTCGCGAACTCCACAGGAAGACAACGGGTTTGCAATGTTTCATTGCTTTCACCCAGTTCCTGTAGATCTAATCGTACAATATAGGCCCACGCCGAAGATTTTGGATCATTTAATTACACACCTTAAGAAGCGGAATTTCCGATCATTTCCCAATTCACAGTTCACACTTACAAACATTCCAACTGCTTTGTTAAAGCAAAATACAATCGAATTCGACCTGGCTCAGTTGCCGGTCAAACGGCTATTTTTTTGTCCGCAGGATGACCGATCCTTGAAAGCCGTCTCAAATCCGTACAAAGAATAGTTGTCAGGGTCAGCTCGTATAAAGGCCGTCATAAGACTGGATTTTTTCAACCTTGCTTTGCTAAACCTTTCCTGCCCAATTCGGGCGAACGTAGAGGGTAACAAAACGTCGAGATATGGGCAAGTTTTGGAAAGTAACTAAACAAGTTCCGTAAGTTTAGTTTCCGAAAAGAGTGAATGGTTCAGTAATTGAATACGCAAACAGGTTGACGGAACATTGACGGGATGGTTTATGAGGAACATGCATAATGCAAACTAATGATTGTCCAAATAATGTTGGACACATGTACTGTACGTGACTATACACTGTATAGTGGCCTATCATTTCGGAGGCATTGCATTAATTTTGTGGATAGCTATAGGTCTTCAGTTTTGGAATACACCCAACACCCTGCTACAAAAGTTGTTTTATAAAGATGGGCAAAAGTTTGTTTATCTTGAAGTACATGTATCTTACTTTCTCGCAAAACCGAGTAACAACATCTCTGTACGGAGTTCGACCCACCTGTTATTTTAGATTAGACAATACCTGTATAAATCCATGTAATCTGATCGGTGGAACGTATGTCACGTATCATTGAATTATTCGTTCTATTCAACGGTATCCGTTGAATAGGAACTTTATTTCGTAAGACTGGTTTCCGCCCTCTTTTCATATATCCCATTCCCAGTAATAAAGAGGATAATGATGCGGGCACGGAAACCAGTATAAAATGGTACTAGTGTTGGGGGCGCTTCAGACGCAAATCTGTTTGGCAAAATGACGGACCTAGGCCGTGTCCGAAACGGGCCTTCCAGAGCTACGGCTAGGTCTACTGTCTGTGCGCCTCCACGTACTTTTAATGGAGTGAAGACCTAGACCTAGCTCTAGACAACAGATTCGGATGCAGCCGTAGTTGTTCTCCCATAACAGAAGAGGATTTCTGCAGGTATAAAACAAATAACGAATGCTTCAAATTCGTGCAGTGGTAATAATGATTGCATTTGGTAACAGACGAAATGTTCTGACTCATGAAATTATGTTACCATTGCACTTATAAATATTCATTATGTGTATAATATTCAATAAACTGAACATTTGAAAATACACGACGAATCACTGCAAAAGCCATACAGCGCTCGAGTGGCGATTCGTTTTAACTTAACTCATCTCTAGGGATTTTTTCCCTTTTCGCAATGAAAAGGCCTTAAGCTGGTTTAAATGCATGCAATAGTGTTAAATGTTTGCGTATTACAAGTCTATCGATTATAACAGATATTGTATCTGTAAAATGGCACGTGACCGCAATCAACTATGAGCAGGGCTGAGTGTTTTGGCAAATATATATTTGTGTCTATTCTTACAGGGAAATAGGGAAAATGTTGATTAAGATTAGTTTAGAACGACAGTCTTTTTCAGTTTTTCACCATAACTGCTAACACCTACCATACCACTAGCCCTATAATTTACTCTCTAAATTCCAAAGAGGGAAAATTTACTCCAGTTGAGTGAAACTGGACACCAGACGAATTTGAGAGGAATGTTTCACTCCAATGTGGATCGCAATTTCATTACGGTTCTCACTTTCAGTCGAACTTTTACTGGGTGATTTTCATGCTACGTGTACATCGTCGTCCAATTCTACTTCAGTCTTGGAAATATGCCGTTCTACCCATGCTCTCCCTCGAGCGGATTAAAATATTTTATAGACCCTTCTCGTGTTGCCTACTCTTTAGAGAGGAAAACTCACTTGTAAAAACACTCTAAGAGAGTGAAAACCACTTTAAAAAGAGTGGAAACCACTCAAAGAGAGAAACCATAAGGGATTTACTCTTCTTCTTCTTGTCTTTTGTATGTTACTCCTTGAAAGTTCACCCTTGATGACAGATTTTGCCTGAAAATGCCCCTTTTCGTCGTTAAATTTAAACGGAGGGGTTCATCCACCATTTAATTGCACTGTGAGTGAAATTATGCGGTCACACGTCGGGCGTTATTCCTTGATCTGTACCAACGCGTCAGTGATTTGGTTGGCAAAAACCGTGTCTGTCATGCAAAGAGAGAGCACGCGGTACAAAACCATGTACTGTAAAATAAACATTTCCACCCATATCGCCTCAGTCAGTGTGTGCTACAAGTACTATTGCTTTATGTATGAACACCATTATGCATTTAACCTGCACGCCCTATGTACACGCAGTATGCTATTTAGAAATATTTTGTGCAGTGGACCGAATCATTTAGCCTCGCTAATGGTTAATGGGAAATATGCAAGTCTGATTCCATTCATGGGCAAAATTCCTGGTTTTTGTTCCATAGAAAGGTCGCCGGTGTTACGCATGCCAAAGCATTGACGCTGTACAAGCATATAGCAAGTACATGAAAGTGTCTTATGCGTTATTCCCTTTGCAGTTAGGTTGGCGAAGTGGTTCTTTCCTCGCCTTCTACCTCTGCGGCCCGTGTTCGAATCCCAGCCCGGTCCACATGTGGATTGGGTTTTCAGTCCTTACCCGACTCCGTGGGTTTTACCCGGAATATTCCTTTGGGGTTTTCCTCCCACCTCTAAAACTGTAACTGCTTTTCACTGTCTCCTCTCTACGGGTTTCTTCAGGCTTGCGAGCTACAGTGCCCAGGGCGCTTTTGAGGAATCCTTGGTGTTATTACTAGAAAGAAATAATAATAATCCTTTTTTTCACCCCAGGAAAAACCCCACGCTGCAGGTATTTCAACACCAAAATTTGTCAAAAACTGGGGATTTTGCTGTCTTAAATGTTCAGTTCCTTGGTGATTTGTTGTTGGGTCTTTGTTTTTACTGAGAAGCTGACGGAGTGGGGTGATAGGGCATCTCCATAGAAGAGTATTCAGCCTTTAGTCTTGAGCTCAGGCAGATAATGGAGGATTAAAACACATGGATTGACAATTTTTTTCTGAAATGATCATTAATTTTAAGGGTGCCGATACTATTTCTAAAGCATGCCATTCCATAAAGAAAGAAAGAAACACAGAGAAAGGAAGACATTCTCCTACTAGACCTCGCCAAGAATCATTATCGACAAAGTCGGAAAAAGTTACACTTCTCGCATACTACCCATGCACAAATCGCCCCACAAAACTTTTTTAATATGCCTGTGGCATCGATGCATCCACACGCTTGTTGGTCGACATAGCCCCCTCTATTGGTGGAGTGTGATCGCGAAAAGAATAGGATTTGTATGTACAGAAGAGTAAAAGCAGACGATGCACGTAATTTGATATGGATTTGAAGTGCGGTGCGCGGTCAAGTTGGTACGGTGGTTAGGCCAAGGCAAGGCCAAGCCTACATGTAAGTTAAGTTGGTTGAACACCGTTTACGGAAATTTTCTGTCGAAGAGCACAAACTCTTGTGACGTTCGAAGTAGCTGGAATAGAGTGCACAAAAGCGATTCAGGGAGGTACATATAGGCTAAGTTAGAGCGTTTTAAACTGACAAAGAGGTCTATCATCACTGACCTAGAACTTATGATGGCGGCTTGGCCTAGAATTCTCAAATGTTAACATGGGATTTTGTTTCTGGAGCTAGGTCGTTAGGGAACACCAGGCTGAATTGGTGTCCAATTTCTGGATGCCGTCATTATCGAATGGACTAAATTTAATGACACAAATGCATGAATGAAGGTAATGGCACCAGTATTTAATTAAATGAACTTAAGTTTTTCAACAAAATGGTTCCCGAGTGAGCTGCCTGAGGAATGATCAACAAGAGAAACATCACCAGTCATGGTCAAAGTGTGTCACGTTAATTTTCCAGTGCAGGGCTAGAGTTACGCAAGCTACAACATGAGAATTACAAGTGAAGCTTGAAGGACCCAATTCCCTTTGTCCTTTCTTGTTTTCAAAAAGCTTATGTCCTTAATCTTTTTTAATTCATTTCCCTGCAGCTTTTCCTGTCATACATGTCTATTCTTGATCAGCAAGTTCCAAAGTGTGGAATTTTTCTAGGATGCATATCTCAAAAACACAACTTTCACATAGTTTCCAGTTCTATGTGTACCTTGCTTTAATTAATGAAAATTTGTGACCATGGCTTTTTGGACAAGATGGGAAACAAAAACACCTGTCAGGGACTCTTAGCCGTGCAACCCTCTGAAAGCAACTGTCTGGTATCATACCTAATCTAACCCCATGGCAGAAACAAAGACAAACAGTGACAATAGCAACAAAGCAACAACAACAAACATCCCAACTCCTGAAAAATTCTTGTTCTTTTTTTCCTTGAGTACTGCAGGCAACATGGTTGAAAAATGTTTGAATACTAATTTATTCTGCACCTGGAAGTTTATTTGTTGGATATTTTGGAGCTCTAAGTGCAACAAATGGTTTGTAATTGAAATGAAGCCTTTTTGTCAGGCACGAGAAACCTCATCCCCTGGGTCTCATGCTTTACCTTTGTGCTTTCACTTGTGACCCCCCCGCCAACCATTACCTGCAGAATTCTAATAGTGACCCCCAAATCTGCCAAAGGTGACCAAACCTTGACATAAGACTCGTTGAAGTCAGCAGGGGATAGTGTTGGCTGAAACATTTAGCTGACAAAATCCTGCCCCAATTAATTTCCTTGGTGTTTTCCACGTTGTGCTTTGATTGCAGTTTGCTGAGGGACAGCTTGGACTCGCCAGTCAGACTGTGACCTCCTTCAGTTACACCTTGACATGGCCGAATCCTGTTTCTGTGAGTGAGATCGTTGTCACACGGATAGACACTAACACTCAGACTGATGACTCGCCGTTTGCTGTGGGCCCAGACCCCATCAGGGATTTCACCGTCTACCATTTGTATCCCAGCACAAACTACAGTATCAGGGTGATGAACACTTCAGCATATTCAGCAGTGTTCACTCGACAGACATTGGGTACCGGTAAGTACAGAACTGTGCCATTTGTGGTTTTTTCTGATGCATTGTGTAAGGATGGATTGTCATCAGGAGACAAAATCAATTTCAGGAGTCGTATTTGCTTTTTGGTCGCTTATCTAAAATGCATCCTTTTTCTTTAAGTTAGAACGTCAGCGCAGTGAGTGCATATGTTTATCACAGAACTAATTTCCTGACAATGTCAATTTTTTTTTCACTATGGGAACTCTACACCGATGCTAATATTGGTATTTGTAAAGAAATTGTACTCTGTACAAATGCAAAGTGTAGGACCATGAGGATTTCTCAGACATTTTAACTTCACAAGTAACTCAGTTTTCAGAAACATATTCTCAAGAACATGGCAATCACATTGACAAATAGATCTCTAGAAAGTTCTACATGTTGACACTGGGTTTTCCCTCCTTTTTTTGTTTCAAACATTAGCTGGTATTGATGTTGTTGCCTTTTGCCATTGCATTGAATCCCCTTTACTTTTTCACTGGTATCCTTTAGCAAATAGAATCTCACTGGCTGCAACAAACACCCCTGGTATGATGGCCATTAGCGTACCCAACTTTTCATTGCCGCCTGGTAGCACAGCTTCCATGGTTCAGCTGGCGGACCCTATCAACAACAGATTTCCTGTGCAGGAAAGCAAAGATGTAGCCGGAGTCGAGGTCGTCACATTTAGCAGTCTGACACCAGGCACCCTCTACCAATATGAGCTACGTATTCAGCCTTCAAGTGGACAGTACATTGTTGACAGCATAGCACAGATTCGCAATGGTTTGTTCCACAAACATACCCAAATCTAATTAGTCCAATTTAGTGAACCCCAAAGCATACAGATGAACTGGGTGCAGAAAAACTTTAGCTTGGCAAAAACAAATTATTACTCAAAATGTCATGTCTACGGTTACATAGGTTGTGACTGAAATACTTTGTTTTGGGAATGATCACCTAGTACGTCATTTGGGCCTGGATTGTTAACTTGAGGGCGCTTTTCTTGTAAGACAGCAACCATAGTGTTTACATTCTGATACTGTATTCATTCACCCTCACTCATCTCTGCCCATAGTTTACCATAGGGGGTTCAGACAGAGTTTGCCATGGAATGCATGCTTCGATACCAGATGTTGGTTGTTCACATGAAGTTATATATTTCCCAGTGAATAAAGCCGAGAATGAATCCCAATCTTAATTCTTGGAGATTGTTGGCCACACTCTGTGTTGTCTTCTGCCAGTAATTTGTTCCTTTTGTTGTGGCCTTTTCCAGCTCCGCGTCCACCCGGCTCATTTAGCTTCTCCAATCGACAGGTGTCCAGCATCACCATAACTGTCACTCCCTCGACACAACCAAACCGTGTTGACTACTACAAAGTCACTTACATGGAGCGTAGCAACCAATCCAGTGCTAGTGCTCGAACGGCGGGGAATGCTGTCACATTGATCGGTCTGAATCCCAACAGCCCTTATGACGTTACTGTGACATCTGTGGCTGGCTTGGGTAGTGACCTGGAGGAAAGCTCTTCAATCTCCAAAGCGTTTACTCTAAGTACTGCCCCAGATTTCAAGCATTTCCCACAAATTCTATTGCACCTGTAATTCAACACCTGTAACTGAAAATGTCAAATCAGTAAAGTCCTATCTTTTGTGTAGTGATTTCCTCATCTGCTAATTTGTTAAAGATTGGAATTTTCATTCTTTTACCTCACAATTAATCTAAACTGCAAGTTTGGATAGTTTTGCTACACACTTAGAAGAAAAGTGTTTCCAAATCTCAGTCGGGTAGACCAACGCTGGTTCATTATCCATCTGGACCTCAACCTGAGATGCATAGGCATCAATCACATCAAAAGTTGAGGCAATTTTTTACCACAATTTTCTAAGCGAGTGCTGTAAGATTTATTTCAATTTGCAAATAATATCAGTTGAAATATGAATCTAGTGCTGGCTTACTGTCCATTTTAATTTAGGGTCCGGGAAAAAAGTGGAGGGGGCTTGCGGCATTTGAAAATATACCCCCCTTTAAAAAGTTGGGGGAAGTGTTCCCCCATCCAACACTGATTGATGCCCATGCCCTAAGGTGCAAAGAGGATTGACTTTGGATGGACTTGTTTGAATCAGTGTCATGTGTCATGGTAATTGGAATAGTCTCCGAGTTATGCCGTCCTGAAAAGAGCACTTTCTGGCCGTCATTTGAACATTCAACCAGGAAGGGGATAGGAAAGAAATGTGACTCTTCAAGTCTAGGACATTGAAGAAAAACTTGCAGTGGGCATGTAATTTGTGGGAGATACTGTTATTTGGAGGCAGTTCCTGGATGAGCGTGTCAAAGAAATTCAAAAGAAAGAAACAAGTTTTTAATCCAGCAGGTTTTTGAGTGAGGTAAGAAAAGTAAAGCCATAGGTAAAAACAAAATTAGGCTTCCCTCAGAAGTGCACCGGTGAACATGTTGATATAAGGTAGGCAAGCAGAGCGTTTGTGAAAATAAGGCACAGAAATATTCTGTAGAAAATCAACCATTCCTAGGCTTTGACGCCTTATGTAGGTTGCCAAGTGGTGTACAAGGCTTCTGATGCTTGTTTCAATGGTAGGCGATTAGTTGTAAGTTCAAGTGATTTTGAAACCCAAAGCATACAAGCCAGGCTTACCAGTAAGTCACGGCTAGGCTAGCGGTCAATATCTCACAAGAAAGCGAAATGAAATAGCGATCAGGCTGGCAGGACAGCAAGCAGCTGTACAAGTGACCAACCAAGCCAATGAATGAAGGAAACAAGGTTAGCACTCAGCAAAACGTTTTCCTTCCAGGCAAAATGCAAGTAGATTTGTCCTAATTTTGCGAGTTAAATCTGCCATATAGGTAATCTCCAATTTGTAGAGTCCAATAGCCGTGTTTGAAATATTGAAGCATTGCACCAGGTGACATGTCACGAGTTCACAAGAGTGTCATTTCCATTTCTTGTCCTGCAGCCTCCTTGGAAGTCGATGCTCGGCGGGCAACCTTTCTAAGCTTGACTTGGGCTAGTCTTGGCGATGATATCACTGAGTACATAATGGAGTACAGTCCCAATGGGGCCTCCCCATTGTCCCCTATCACTGGTATTACCAACCGACAGGTTTTTCTGGGGCTGTTGACCCCTGGCACAGAGTATACATTTGAATTATATGCCGCCTCTGGTGGAGTACAAGGAGATTTGATCACTTCTCAAGTAGTGCAGACATGTAAGTAGCCTTATACAAAAGCACGCACCCTATCTGGACTACTTTGTAACCATCCTTATGGGAGTCATACGATAAACTCAAGTCATTTGCAAGAGATCTTGAACCGTAGCAGTAAAGGTTCTTATTTTGCTATAAATGTTGAGTTCAGTGTTTCAATGTTCAGTGTTTTTGTTAAGATTTGATACGAATTTAGAGTTTGACTTTTGCTTTTCTTTCATTTCTAAGCATGGTTTCTTCTCTGCATTGTATACATTTTGATGAAAAACACAGTGCCAGAGGCAGTCACAAGCTTTGACATTACAACAAACGAGACAACCATCAGCCTATCCTGGGCTCCACCTGCAGGGCGAGCAGACGCCTTCAATATCTCATACACCCCAGGGGGTACTGAGGAACAAACTATCAGTGAAAGACAGTTCACCATCATGTGCTTGGAGCCTGGCACCCAGTACCAAATCCGTGTCGTCAGCCTTCAAGGTGGCTTTCGAAACTTAGATTCTGACACCGAGGTTCAAACTGTTACAACAGGTTAGCCTTATTCCTGATTATTTTTTCCCCCAAAAAAATCCTTAAAATTCCACTCACACTGACTGATTCGTTTTATGTTCACTTTGTAGAGTGAAAAGCAGTCTTGTTGGTTTTATCGATAATTCTTCTCTTTTGATCCTTTAAGTAGTGGATTGTGTTTTCTTTGTCAGTTGCTGGTGAGTCAGGAGCTATCAACATCAAAGACATTGGATCCATGTCGGTCACCTTCACTTGGAACCCTGTAAATGGTGCCCAGACCTACACTGTCACCCTGTCGCGGAGTGGTGTGACTGAGGAAACTAGAAATATAGCCTCCTCTGCACCTCGATCTCTGACTTTGCCCATCCAGAGCGGTACTTTGAACTACACGATCCAAGTGTCAGCAGCTGGGACAAATATCATGACGTCACAGATGTTTACATCACGTAAGGTTTATGAATGAAATCCCTTCCTTGACACCCTCCTAGACTTTAGGCAATCTTTAACTTCCCCACCCTATGGCAGCAGTTATGCCCTGACGTCCACGAGGACGTTAATTCTAGGCCTGGACCGTAAGTGTACATGTATTACTGTCCCAACGGAGGAAGCTATTCCAAAAGATTGTTTTGTGTCATTTGCTTAATATTGTTATAAATCTTGTAGGGAAATATTCCAAAAGTTTGTTTTCGTGTCATTTGCTTGATGTTGGTATAAATTTTGTAGGAAGCTATTCCAAAAGTTTGGTTTTGTGTTTGTGTGTCAGCCCCTAATCTCCCAGGAACTTTGACCACTATCTATACGGCTTCTAAGGACTTCGCCTTTAGATGGGGCTCATCACCTGGAGCATCTGATTATATGATCACCTACTATGAAACAGGTAAGCTCTACTGTCAAGTGCTAAATTATGAGTTGTATGTACTTCCTCCTGATTATATTTTTACCTACCTTATAACAGGTTAGTCTGTCTTTAAAGCAAAAGTACTAAATCATGAGTCTAATTCCCTAGTCCTGATTACGTCATCAGTTAACATCATCAGTTACTATGAAAAGGCAAAGTAAAGTTAAAGTACTAGTTCACAAGTCTAACGTCCTTAGTGCTGTTGTTGTGGCCATGTGATCTTCAAATTGTAAATTCAGTGTTTGATGTCATTCTCTATATAGCTCTATGGTTTTACCACAATCGTTTCATCAATACATGCCAATTTATTGCTCGTTTTAGCTGTCTAAACCAAAAATTGGGATTTGAACAATAAATACGTCATTTCTCCTAACTATGGCAAACGCAATTAAAATGGTATGGATTTTCAAAAAAATGGGTTTGGTCATGCAGTGTTATCTTAAAATTCTTGAAACCATCTTCATTCAAACACCTCAGATTTTGAATTTTGCAAAATTGGTGTGGCCTGTTAAACACATATGTGTTTTCCTTTACCATGGAGAGCAGTGCTTTATGTTTTCCTGTTTGTTCCTACAATGCAACTCTTTCCCGTAGACTAAGCATATGGTACCATCAAGGGCAGAATTGAACAAAAGACTTTCCAACAAGAATAGGGAGAGATCCTTTGTTATCTGTGTGTATCTGTCCTCTGTGGTAAAGCAAAATGTGTACAAGGTTACTAGACTTGATCATTCGGTGTTTAACTTTTGTTAATAGGAACCAGTAGCGTCAGGTCAGTTGAGGTGTCCAGCTCAATCACTCAATATGAAGTTACTGGTCTCACTCCTCAAACCTCATACTCCGTGGAGGTGAGGGCACTCCTGAAGACCGCCAGTGATGAGTGCATCACAGTACAAAGCGAGCCTCGATCAGCTGCGTTCACCACAGGTCAGTCAGTACATCAGTCTGGATTCCTGTTCCGGTGTCAGAGAGTTACAAGTTGAGTTTCCATCACATGTGAAACTCATTGTTATTCACTCAAAGACGTGCAGGAAAGCTGATACCTCATACTCTCATAATTGAGAACAATTTTCTCACTGTTCCATTCACTTTCAAGCGTTATGTCATGTTTCTGCTGTGTACGCTGGCTTTTAAAAAAAATTTATTGGATCATGAACGTAGCTTGAAATTTGGCAGGGTTTATGGGCAGTTAGCTTGAAATTTGGCAGGGTTGATGGGCAGTTGGACAAAATAAAGATAGAGATAAAAATGTATGGTGATTTTTTTTTACTTTCAATTAAATTATCCAGGATTGAAGGATGAACAATCCTGTCTCAAGAAAGATAAATTTATTTGTAAACTTACATCATTCAGGGTCTGCGTATTCCTAATCAGGCAAAGTAAAAACAATACGGCCTTACCAGGCATATACAAAAGGATTCATGCATTGGTTGAAAACATATGACTGGTAAACTATTGCATCACTTACCCTTGTGATAGTTTACTATGCATATAAGTACATTGTCGAGGATGTTGGTCAATAACCGTGGTTTATTCCTTTGATCCACAGTGGCTGCTCGATTGCAGGTTGTGAGTTTCACCGAAAACTCCATCACAGTCACCGGGTTTGTTGTTGGACAGAGTCTGGACTATGCACCATCAGGGAGTGTCTTTGTGACCAACAGCACTAACCAAGTGATTTCTGGGCTGACGCCTGGAGTTGTGTATACAATCCGCCTTGTCAGTGGGCCGTCTGTGTTGGACCTCATCAGACAACAGACTGGTGAGTACTGATAGTTGCTCTCAAACTTGTGAGTGTATTGAGTAGTACTTGTTCTCAGACTGGTGAGTGTATTGAGTAGTACTTGCTCACAGACTGGTGAGTGTATTGATTAGTACTTGTTCTCAGACTGGTGAGTGTATTCAGAAATACTTGCTCTCAGACTGGAGAGTGTATTGAGTAGTACTTGCTCTCAGACTGGTGAGTGTATTGAGTAGTACTTGTTCTCAGACTGGTGAGTGTATTCAGAAATACTTGCTCTCAGACTGGAGAGTGTATTGAGTAGTACTTGCTCTCAGACTGGTGAGTGTATTGAGTAGTACTTGCTCTCAGACTGGTGAGTGTATTGACATGATTGAGTAGTACTTGCTCTCAGACTGGTGAGTGTATTGAGTAGTACTTGCTCTCAAACTGGTGATTGTATTGAGTAGTACTTGACCAACAAAATGAACCTGTCTTTGCTCAATTGCCATTCAAAGGTGATCCCGTAGACACAGTGACAAAATACACATTGTTGAGTTTTGCCTGCTGTATTAGCTTTGTGTTGTCTGTCACATGGGTCACATGGGTCGGTATTCTCTCAAAGAAAGGAAACGTGTCTGAGCTTGCATATACTTGCCAAGGATGTGGAAAGGCAAAATATGCTTGACTTTTGTTTTGGTGATGGTGGCATTGGTAGACTTTACAAAAACTATGACATGCTCTTTGAAAATTTATTCGGTTTTGTAGCCCTTATCCAATTTTAACCTTTGCCCCATTTTTGACTTTGTTTTGTTGTCTACAAGCAGTGTCAAATAATGTTGGAACCAAAACTCATGTTAGGTTAAAAGTGTCACTCTGACTTTGCCGTACCTATCGTCTTTCAGTTCCTGCAAGGCCCAGCATCGTCAGCGTCACTAGTGGCTTCCCTCCAGAGACGGAGCTAGTTGTGGTCGTTGATACGCAGGGTAGCGATTATGATAACATCGAACTCGTCTACTCACCTGGTGATGGCTACAAGGCCTCTCCGGTCGTCCAGAGTGGCCAAAGATTTGTACTAGATGGCTTGACGCCAGGTCTGAGTTACAGGATCGAAGTGACCACCATAAGCGGAGATCTTCGCAGCGCTACCGTCACTAGCACAGGAAGCACAAGTTAGTGGCTTCAGTTTTTTTTTTGGCTGCATGTTTCACAAACACATCATCTCCCTCTTCTTTTGAATACCATGAGATACCAAGGCTCCCCTTGATTTAATCAAATTTGTACATATTTGAAATATTCACCAGCCACCCATAATCTTTACCATTCAATCACCAATGTCTCTGTTGCAGCATTTTTTAATTTAAAATTGTACTATAATATGATACCACTGAAGGTTTATAATTATTCATTTTGCTCTGATTCAAGAAGATTCTTTTGTAAACAACCCACAGTTGAATTACGTCAAAGTTATCAAGGGCCAGTGGAATATTTACCAAACGTAGCTTGTCTTCCGTTCAGTTTTTCTTGTTTAGAGTCAGTCTGTTCGGATGCAAGTGACGCAAATATTACCTAGGTCCATAAAACAGGCTTAGGCTGCATCGGAATCTGTTGTCTAGAGCTAGGTTTACGTCTTTGTTCTATTTGAAATACATGGAGATGTGCAGACACTAGACCTAGCCGTAGCTCTGGAAGTCCTGTTTTGGACATGACCTTAGAGCTTTTGGACCTTTGCTTCCTTGTTGTATTTTGCCTTTCATGAAGATGAGAGGAAGGGAACTTAGAGAACTCACATAAAGGCAATGTCAATATGTTAATGTACAAATGTAACCCATCCTAACAGAATGAGTCATGATTCACCAGAAACTCATTAGAGTTGACATGGTTGAGGTTAAATAGTAAGAGGAACCCTCTTCATTTTTCAGCAACGTAGAGCGCATTTGGACCAGGATGCCTAACACTGAGTGGTCCCTTAGAACAAAGAGCTCAGCTTGCTCTTTTTAATGCAAAACTCAAACAAAATAACTGAAACAATGTTCTCAATTCTTTGGGATAGCAAATGTGTGAGTATCTTACATCTTACATTTTTTAAATAGATGTTGAACAGTGTCTGTACTTTCTGAGATTTCTTTGCCTGTGACCTTTTCAACCCTCCAGAGTATATTTGAGAAATGGTTGTTGTTGCATTTTGTCTCAGATGCTGGTGAGCAAGGCCGTATTTACCCTCATCTTGTGGAAAAAACCTCCATCGCAGTCAAATTTGGAGCCGTGGAGTCCTCTTCAGAATACAGGCTGACTCTTAGACGGGGATCTTTAACTAGACCGGTAACCTTGACACCGGTGGAGCGTTATCACCAGTTCACTGGCTTGGAGCCTGGCTCTTTTTACGACATCACTCTAACAACCCCAAATAGAATCCCGCAAGTCACTACGATGGCTCAGATAAGAACTTGTAAGCCTGGCTTTTGTTAAGAGCTTTCATTTCTTTGTAATTCTGTTCTCACATTTTTCCCCTGTTCTTTGGTATCATTGCCTAAAGAATTGTTTCATTGACAAATTAAAATAGTTACGAGGTTTTAAAAACTCAGTAAAGGTGCAGCATATGATTATCTGCTTGTTTGGTTTAAAAATAATAAATAAAATGATAATCTAAAAAGCTCCAAAGTTACCCAAGAGATACTCAGAGGCTAACAATTACACGCAATAACACGTTCCAAAATAAGAATAATACTCAAAAGAATAGCAAAACCTAAGTGGTCACTTTTGGAAAAGTTAAAATGATCAGAAAAATCAAGTAAAAAGAGAGTTAATAACAACCTACAAAATCTTGAACTACATTTAGCAATAAGCCTTGTGTGAGTTAGATTGAATGAAGTCTGGTACACTGAGTCATCTGATTGCACATAAACATAACAATTTGAATTCCTCAGACTAAAGACACTTGCTGTTAATGTTCCTTGTGATTTGAGGCAAGCTTTTGCTTAGCAAGCATCGTCTCTGGAATGGCCTGGTTCCTTTGTGCCCTTCTTATTAATTGAAACAGTTTATTGGTGCAAGACGTCTCTGATGTAACTAAGCAAAACCTTGCCCCGAATCACGAGGTATAGCAACAGTGTCTTTAGTACGGAGAATTCAAATTGCTATGTTCATGTGAATTTACAGAACTCACTATAGCAGATGATATTTAAATTTAACTCGTAAAAGACGAAATGAAAAGGGCAGTTTAGAATTAAGAAAAGGAAAAAAAAACAACTCTTTTTCAATTTTTCCTGTTTTCAACCAGTGGTGGATGTGCCAGCTTCATTGGACGTGATGACAAGCGCTCCACGTTCTATCACTGTCACATGGACCAGTGCTTCTGGTTTCGTCAGCCTGTATGAGCTCAGTATACGGAAGACCACAGAGACCGTTCCTGTGCTGGCAGGTACAGTGGCGGCTGCTGACCCAAACACATTCACCTTTGAGTACCTGGAGCCAGACACAGACTACTTCATGTCTGTCACATCGGTTGTCAAGCAATCGGACGGTGTCTTCCGAAGCAGAGAGTCAGTGAGCCGGACAGCACAAACTGGTAAGTTGGAGAAAAGTTTGTCCTAAAGTCTGAGGATTAAATTCAGATCAGTGAAAGATTGACAGTGGAAAGGGCTCACTTCCTAAAACGGCAACTAAAACCCAACAGCAGACTAAGAGCTAGAATAATGTGATAGGACAACTCCTCAACATGTCTGAAAATTTTTCTCGGCAGGTTACAGCCACTGACACGTTTTGCTGCATCTCAGATTAAAATTAGATCTTTCAAGTTTGGAAGTGTCTGCCTGATCATTGCCTTTTTTTGTTCTGGACAGAAGTTTCTGAGATGGGACTGAATTTTGAGCACTATGATAAACATCGATCATAGGAATTGGTACCTTTCACAAATTGATATAATGTGTAATGGTAGACGAGGTTGAGAGTATTGGATTTTGAACAGACTATTGAAGTATTTAATGCCCTGTGCTGAATTTTGTCGTCGCGCAAAGTTTTTTTTTTTTATCAGTGTTTACCTTTCAGTCTTGTGCGTACTTTGCTCTAGTTTTCCTATGTTACAAATAGCAGTGATGTACATGTAATTGTCCATCATGCTGTTTATTGGCTTTTTGCAAAGTGAGGCCTCGTAGGGTCTAAATACCATTACAAGTGAGAGCACGGCGCCATCATAGGTTTTCAAGTTTAAGTGTGTCACTTGTTAAAAATATCAGTGAAACATGTAAGGACCAGTAACACTCAAACCGTTTGTGACACAAGTACCATTTCAGGTCAGGTGTTGGCTTTGGTTGTGTGAAGTGGTACTTGGAATCCAGGAAAGAGTACTTCCACATTTCTCTTATGAATATCCACACATTGTCAGTGTCCATCCTACAGAAACCACTGTCAAATTCTCCAATCATTGTATTATTTATTAAACATTGCCCACACTGTAATGTTTCTCCTATCGCCCTTCTCATAACAGTGACGTCAGCACTGCGTCTAGTCTCTCGATCTCAGAACACCCTGATGTTAGCGTGGGACGCTGTGCAGAATGCAGACTCCTACGCCGTTGTCTTCTCCCCAGAGGATGGAAACCAGCAGTCTCCAAGCATTGTTGAAGGTTTCCTGTCACTTGCTCTGGAGAATCTCAAAGCCGGTTTCAGATACGACATCCGTGTGGACGCTAACATCTCATCCACCATCTTGTCCATTGGCTCGCTCACTGCCTGGACAGGTAAGAATTTGTGGGAAACTCTTTTACTTGGAAGAACGGGAATTAAATGCAGGAACAGAAAGTGGTTTGCAGCACGATATTTTAATGTACACACAGGATTGAACCAGTACTCAGTATGTCAGTTACCGACTCTCCACACTGACCCCCCCCCTGAGGAATTGAAGGTAGGGTGAGGACATATGATGTGCACAACCATGCAAGACATATTGTGACATCTGACGTTTCAAAACCCCTGGTCTTCCAAAGTGTGCAGCCTCAGTGTCGTTTCTTTGAAAAATCTTTCAGGTTTCTAAAAGCGTTGTGGTTCATCATTCCATTATGTCGTTTGTTTGCCCTTAATACTGGAAACTGCTCCACGGTACATGTACATCACTGTGTTGGACATTCTTTTTAACCTTGTAAATTATCCTTTACCACTTGCTGTGGAAATTGTCTCTTAAGTAGGTTTTCCAATAACGTGAGTTTGAACACCACTTTGTAGTCATCCAAACTGCCTCTGAAGCTGCGACAAAGTTTGTGAAGTGACTGTGCCATTGTTGTTTGCAAAACACCGAACTTTACCACCTTGAAAAAAAAAAGTGACCATTTTTCTTGCGTTAGTCCCACCTCCCCCTGCCTCACTGACTGTGGAGGAAGTCATCAGCGTCCACATTATAATCAGCTGGGAGCCACCAAATGAACCTGGTGACTTTCAAGGCTATCTCATTACCGCTACCCCGCGAGACGGCTCCGAAAGTCAGATGATCCGCAAGGGGCGGTACGAGAGGAGACGGGCAACCTTTTACATTACCGCCCAAACTACCTACGACCTGGCAGTGTCCACCACCACGGGCACAGCAACTCACGTCTTCCTCAGTGAGCCTGCGATTGCCAACGCCACTACAGGTAGTTATGCGAGTTATGCGAGGGTGATGTTTCAACTTGTTGGATATCTTAGCACTCCTTTGCATACTTGTCATTTGTTTTTGATGTTAACAAATCAGCTCACCTCTGAAAATTCATCGGTTGAGTGGTTATACATCTGCATTAGCATTAGGAGGTCTTTGGGTTCCATTCCCACTTAAGCCAACGTCTCAGGAATTTTTCTCCCGAGCGCTCAGAAACAAAAGTCAATATTGCAGGTTGGATTTATACCTTTCAGTAAACAGAATTCTCAACAACACTTCCCACAATCACCCACTTCTGATAGTGTCTAACATGGACTTTTTAACATCACAGGGAACAGTTTTGTCGGGGAAATCATCAACCATAGGTCAACAACGTCCACCATCACCATTTACTGGACACCAGCTGCCGATTCAACAACCAGATACCGAGTAGGCTATCCCTTCACTTGTCCTTGATTGACATTTGGCCATAGAATTACAATACCAATCTGATGCTGTCATTCCCATTGGTCCTGGCATAGAACAGGCTCACCTTCTCCCATCTCTGGCAAGCTGTTTCCCCCCCCCCCACTATCAAATCCTGGTTGCATGCACAAGCAGCGGGCCCTTGACATTCAGAAACATTCGCCATATTTGCCATTCCAAGAGAACTCATAAAGCAAGTCATCTTTCACTTATTATCCCCGCAGCGCAAGCCAACAGGCATATATTACCCTCATTTTGAAACTCCAAAAAATGCAAGGATTCTGTATAGTCACAAAGCATAAGTCTGATTCTTTCACAATTTTCTTGAAGTACCCTATGGGCTCAAACCATCACATTAGACTGTGTGTCAAACACGGTATCTGTAATGCTTATGACGTCTGCACATCTAGGATCACATTTCAATGATGCAGTCTTCATTATTGCACCATTCGAGTCAGCTATTCTGAACAACTATCAAAGGGAAGTTAGTTTTTCCATTAGCTGACACGATGCATGTACCATTGGTCAAGCATCGGTGAGGCAGTTCCAGGATGAAGCTGTACATTTTCATCATGACGTTTTCTGACATCAGACATATTTGTACAAATGTGTGTCCATTTATCCACAGCTGTCAGTGACAGATGCAACATCAGCAAATCAGCGTGACATAACTGTGACTGGTAATGAGTACACCTTCACTGGGCTCCCACCTGGTGTTGTCCACACAATTACCTTAGATGTTGAGGGAGTTGTGAATTCGCAGCAACAGACCGTCATGGTTAGAACAGGTAGGACAGTCTGGTATCCTGTCTTCTTTGAAGGTCATAGATCACCTGTTCTGAATCTAATTAGTCTAGCTATGCTTTCCTCAGATGCTTGCTACAGAAGAGATATTCAACCACATGCTGCCAGGTTTGATTTGAAGTTGTGTGAGGTATACCTGGGGGATTTTCCCAGATTTTCCATTTTTAAATTCTTCAAAAATTCATTTCTTCATTTGCTGGATGTTTACACCCACACGAATGACTGTCTTGTGGCTACTCTAATCTGACAGACAACATCTATTGACGCCCGGCTATTTCAGCCAGGCCTGTTGCCGTGTAAAAAGAGCCCAGATTGTGCAGTGTTACATAATTTTCTTTTGTTCCCCAAAACTGGCCCAGTGCGCTGCTGGCATCTTTTCAAATGCGGACTGTGCAGTGGTATTGTATTGCTCACCCCTGGAGCACTTTTGTCCCCGGTGGTAATCTGCTTGCGCCGAATACCACAAACAGTGGTATAATCATTCAAAACAATGACAGATTTCCTCTGCTACTGACAGCTGAAAAAATGTTGGCAATTCCCAGCAGCTCAGTCCTTTGTTCTGAGTACAGTCTTTTGTTACAAGGCCCAGTTCCCTTTGTCCAATTTCGGGACTCCGGCTATGCATGTAAAGCCAACGTCTCCGAAACTGGGCTCCCTGGCATCAAGTGGTTAAGCATTGCTCCGACACTTGAGATGTGATGAAAGCAATATCAGATAAATCTCTCTGCACCATGTTGCACCATTTCCAGTTGATTACTGAGATTTTTTTACAAGGTTTTCACGAGACTGAGCTGTCATTGGTCTTGCAGGACATTTTGTCAGCCAGAAAATTTTGGCTTTGTCTTTAATACGCTCATTCGATTCGACCCTCAGCCCCCCTGAGTCCTGCCTTCATCGATACCCAGCTGGTCACAGCAACCTCCATCGTTATCACATGGATTGTGCCCACTGACATCTCCTCTTTCCAATCCTACCTGATTAACTGGTTCCCGGCAAGCCATCGTGGGAATCGTCCACCTGTAACCGTCACCAGTGGGCCAGCTGTCAGAAATTATATCATCAACAACCTCAAGCCTGACACATCCTATGAAATCTCACTGCAGACGGTGTCTGGAGATGCCAACAACTGTGAATCCCGGAGTGAAAAAGTCTTACTCCTGGAGAAGACAGGTGCACACATTAATTATGAAGTCAAGGGATGTATTCAGTCTCTTATTTTGAATGAGTTCAGTGTCTGCCGCATATGAACCAGTTTCTTTGTTTTCCTGGTATCATCAACCAATTTCTTTCTTGTCCTGGTATCATAGGCTCTTTGATACCTCTGGAGTTTATCTACACCCAACTGTCGGACACCTTCATCGATGTGGAGTTTGGCAAAGTCACCACTACAGATGTCACCACCTACCGCCTTAGACTTTCTCAAGGCAACCAAGAGCGTCTCACCAATATCGATGGGGAAGCAGTCGGGCGACGCAGAATTGACAGTCTGATACCTGGAACATCATATAGCCTGGTATTGGAGTCGCCACAGTTGCCTGGCCAGCAACGAACTCTCATCTTCACCACAGGTACTTCAACTTAAAAAACTTGATCAGAGGTACAGTATCATTCTTCAAACTCAGGGGCCGAGTACAGTTGAGAATAAAGGTTTACTGCCATTCCACAAACTTGCACAGAGCACATGCCGGTAAAGGATGTTTGAATTACATCACACAGTAGCTCCATAGCTCCATTGCTTTGCATGGTAATTGGATGGTAAGCTTTTGTAAATTGAAATTTTATCATAAATGCACTAGAACTCAGCTAACTCGATCAACATTTCCTCGTATAGCTGATTTTCTTATTTTTTAAATTGAACGATACTTTACAATGTCTGCTACGGTTGGAATGACACCTGTGCCTGTTGGCATGCCTGTTAAAATTAGCACTCAGCTTCATCACGAATCAATCGCTGTTAACCATCAGTTTGTGAGTGAAAGTGGAAAATGAAAAAACAACCTGTCTCATGCATTGTAATGTCCTTCCTCTTCACAGCTCCCAGCCAGCCCAATGTCATCCTCGAAGAGGTCACTCAGATCTCTGCCAACATCTCCTGGGCCGAGCCGGAGGGGAACTTTGATGGTTTCTCTGTCAACTACTCCCCGGCCGATGGCCTGACACCGTCCACCACAACAATACTCCGGGGACAGCCAACACAATATAGAATTGATGGTCTAGAGCCTGGCAAGGCCTACGCCATCACCATCACCACATTCATCGGTGGAATGGAGGCAGAGCCTGTAGTAATCTCATTCACCACCTGTAAGTGAAGTAGGACTGTTGGTCTACAAGACATGCCTCTATGGTATCACTGTCCTTGCTCTCTTTACTCCAACCTGTTGAAGCTGCTGGACAAGACACAACCCAATGCCAACATTTCAGTTTGAATAAAGAAATAAATGATAACCATTTCTACCCTTGCTCGCTCCTGGTTTTGAATGGTCATCGTCTAGAAACCCACAGTCCCAAATATCTCATTGGGGGTATGTCTTTTTGTCTACTTTGTCACATAGTGGAAGCTGGTGCACAGGAGATCGTTGTCAGACGGTATTCCAACACTACAGTTGAGGTATACTGGGGAGATGGGTCTTCACTGGTGACCAACTTCCGGGGTTACGATGTAACCATTAGTCCGTCCACCAGTGGTGTGTCGAAGACTGTCGATGGCAACTCTCGCCAAGCATCATTTACCAACCTTCAGCCAGGACAGCTATACGAGATCAAGGTTACCGTTGATGGAGATAATGACACCCAGTACACTACTGAACAGAGAACCAGTGAGTCGGCCCAAATTTATGACAGAATTGTTAACCTGAAGTGCAGAATTGGACCTGAGTCAGACTCGGGTCACAATTTGTCTTACCTGAGACTTGGCTGAAACACAAAATGACTCGAGAGCTGGCTGGACTCGGAAGAAAATGATGTAATCTATGTGACTTGAACAAATTTGACTTGTTGACCTTATCAACTTCTTTTAATATGTGTAGAAGAAAACTCTATGACTTTGTACCTTCCGAAGCACACCTGTCTTTTTTTGTTACGCCAATGTCTTATCTTACAAATATCAGCATCATATGATAGAAAACGTTAGGTCAAACCTGTTTTTCTGGTAGTCATGGGTTACGCCATCAGTAAAGTATGTTAGAAAAATCCGAGTGCTGTGTCAGTGAGGGTTATTCAGAGAACAGAATGCCACCAAGATATTGCCATGGAAAGGCCATTTTTGGCCGTGCATCTTTAGAAATAGTTAACAACTTCTATACACCAGCTGCACACAGGGACACATGAATTATTTGCAATTTTTGTTTGTTGGGGGAAGAAGATTTGTAAGTATATTTTGAGAAGCAGTTTTAATGAAACCTTTCTTCTCTCCGTTGCACGAAATGTTTTTCGAACGTTTCCCCAAATTGTCAGATGACCTATACTCAAATGCAAGTTGTCAAAAGGTGGCCATGCTTTTGTCGCCCTCGTTAACTTGAAAAATGGCCTGTCCATGACATCCTCTTGGTGAAATCAGATGTGCTGAAAAAAATGACTTGGGTTTGAAACGACTTATAACTTGTAAAAGAAATACCTTGGCTACAACGCAGCTAAATGTTGGATTCTGTGCAAAGCTGGCAATTGTGGGATCAGAACGTCGGTGGTAGGCATATGTAGCCTTGTCACATATTCAGAAGGCATTGTCTTTTTGTCTGTGGCTTATCACTGTAGCATGGCAATGATAAAACGACAAAGCCATAGCCCCAGATTACCTGATTAGAGCATGGCAAAAGATTTGATGTTATCCAAGTAGAAATTTGTTAATTATATCTACAAACAGGGGTTATGTTCAAACCCAAATTCAATTTAAATTTAGCCCTTTCTACAGTTAATTCAGCGGCTAATTTTCAAGGCAGCAAATTAATACGGGTGATTCACAGTAGTGCGCCACCAAGAGTTTGCAACACGTTGGCCAATCATAAAGTGCAAAATTTGTCGACCCTTTCCAAAGGTGTGTTGGGCCGACAAATTTCGTGCATTGTGATTGGCCAACGTGCTGCAAACTCTTGGTGGCGCACTATTGTGAAACGGCCATATTACAATTAATTACTAATGAGTGAGAAGCATCGTAATCAAATCAGAAGGAAAATTTGCTGCACTGAATTTAATTGCAGGACATCGTGAGAGCTGCTGAGAACGAAGCTTGTTTGGCTTTCTTGAGAAAATGACAAAAAAAAAGATGAAGTTGTCAGTGGATTCACCTTCAGCTTAATAACCAGTAATCAAGATAATGATGATTTGCCCTCTCCAGAACCCAACCCTCCGAGCAGTTTGACGGTCAGCCTCTCAGGCGTCACTCCAGTGGCTCTGCCCATCACATGGGAGGCGGGCGATGCCACCTCCTCCTACGTCATCACCTACGAGAGGCAGGGCTCCAGACAGGAGGAGCAGGCAGGCAGGGTCAACCCAGATGCCCGGTCGTTCCTCATCTCTGGCCTAGACCCACTCACCAGCTACGATATCCGGGTGTTTGCGTCCGCTGGTGCCGGCAGTAATCTGGAGTTCAGTGAACCAGCGACTGCATCAGGAATGACAAGTAAGTAGAACCAAGGCAGGTGCATACCTGAAATTTATTGTGAAAAGAGTTTGAGGATATTACATCTTTATGTATTGCATTCGTTCTAATGTGTGTTGTGTTTGTTGTGTTTTGATATACCCTTGGGTAAGAAAGGGCTCTTTACACCCTCCCTCGTTAGCATGAAATTTGTGCCTTTTAAAATCCTTTTTACTCAAAAGTCAAGTTACGTTCTGGAAGACCTGATGGATTTTTTTCCAGCCGTAAAAGGTTATTTGAAAGAAACTAACTGGGGATCAAGAGGAATATAGCAGGGCCTGAAATGTCTACTTAGACTGCGAGAACTGAAGTGATGATTAGAAAATAACTTTAGAGACACATGAATGCTGCATGTTTTGCTGTTTTGTTTGGACAGCTTCCATTCCTCCCAACACCATTTTGATCCGTTCGTTGACTGACCGCAACGTGACGTTCATCTGGCTGGGTAATAACGCCGCAGCAACCTACCGTATTGTCAGGACACTGGTCTCAACAGGCACTGAGCAGCGCATTGAGGATATTGTCAACCAGGAGTTCACATTGGACAACCTGGATCCAGCTACCGTCTACCGAATCGCCGTCACTCCGCTCACCTCTGGAGGGGATCCCCTGGCATCTTTCAGCACACAAGTCCGAACAGGTCTGTCATCCTGCGTAGAGATCTACTCTTGAATACCTGTTAAACAAGAGTTTGTGTAAACACAATCTGGCTGTCTGTTATGTATGGACTGGCACGGCCAGATGCTTCCCCCCAACTCACCTCAGGCAGACAAGTTAATATGCTAATTCACATACAAAGACCAAATAGGTAGACCATTTGTTGAACTTAAATTTGGCCTCTGTGCACAGCTTAACTGTTGAAAAAATCATGAGGGTTGGGTAAAAAGTACGATTCAAATGATTGTTGGGAGTAAGTATCCGTGGCATTTGGGTGTATTTCAAAAGACTGCAGGTATGTCTTGGATTTCTCAGTGGTCGATATTGTCAGCCGCAAACAACAGTGTTTACAAATGGTTAATTACTCATACAGTGCCATAAAGACCTATCTCAGCATGGCAAAATTCAAACGACTTGGCTCACAAAGTTATGGAAGCACCTTGACAGTGGCTTTATGCATTTATGCATGTGTCCTTTCCAGCCATAGCCAAGTGGTAAAAACTGCACCAGTTATGTCTCAAACAAAACTGTAAAGGACCATTTGCCATTTACAGTAGCTGAGGTCTCTTAGTAGGATCTACTTGAATGCCTGGTGACCCTGTCATGAGCATTAGTGGTCAAAACTTTACTCCAAGTGATCAGGTCCAGACACACGTCCTTAGCCTGGGATATCCTGGCTTCAGTGAAGTTACATGACACATTTAATGCACGCCATTTGGATACAAGAGTTGCGAATTTGCTGTTCTGATTATTTCCAGAAGTCAGCTGCAAAACTAAGACCTTGTGCAAAGATTTGTTGTGGACATCTTTAGTGTCCTACCAGACCTGGGCAATATCGTCGTCTGTTACTGAGATTTTGAAACATGTAGCTTGGCCAGCAAGACAAAGTGGCGTGTGTAATGTATAAAATTTTATCGATCTTTACATTTAATGGATTTCCCGATTTACAGACCCATCCGCAGTTCCGGGGATTTCTTTTGGTAATAGCGGAGACTTCCAGATTCTCGTCCAGTGGACCAATCCTGTTGGATACTTTGATCGTTTTGAGGTAATTTTGTTCAGTTCTTTGACATGATTTGAAATTCCCAGCAAGGTTCTGAAGCCTTGGCTTCAGCTTTATTATTTTATGCTCAGCCGCAGTCTTCCTGAGTCTTAACCTCTGGTTAGCACTGTTTAATACTGAAGGCAAACGAATGCTGTAACTTGACTTGACTCTTGATAACACCGGCATTAATGGCATCATTTATTGCTGAACCATTTCAGTTCAAGCACCTGTCAATACATTTTATGCTTTCGGCCTTATTACACCACAAGTGGTTGAGTGCACAACCAGTCTTTTGGTGCTGTCCACCATGTGAACACGCAGATGTGATCAAAAGACACAAAAATGCTCTTTGAATGGTGATTGATGTGGAACCCTTGATTTCAAAGTGCTGATGATTTAACCTGTTATTGGCACAGGTGTCTTATGTCAATATGGAGGGTGTGACTATCTTTGCTGGAAAGCTGCCACCTGGCCCAACCAACCAACTCTTGTTGGATGATCTCCCAGCAATGACAAACGTTGATGTCATTGTGGAAACAGTGATTGAAGCTGCTGGCACTTTCCCGGAACAGAAGAGCGTTCCCACCACTGCAACTGGATTCACTGGTGAGTGAGAATAAGTTAGTGAGTAAAGGAGTGAGTCAAATAAAGTGCAAGTGCCAGAATAAATCCTGAATCATTGGGACAGTTTCTTTTAAAAATTTTAAAAATTCCTGTGTGAATAAATCCCAACGTCACAGGTGAGTTGAGAAATTTGCCTGTGGATGGATAAAATGCCAATCAAACCATTTACCTGTGTAATGGAAAAATCAATATTATGGGGTGTGACTGTACCTTGTGTTGGGATGATTAAGTCAGGGTGGATTGATGATCCACCGGTGTGGATTGATGATCCACCGGTGTGGATTGATGATCCGCCGGTGTGGATTGATGATCCGCCGGTGTGGATTGATGATCCGCCGGTGTGGATTGATGATCCGCCGGTGTGGATTGATGATCCGCCGGTGTGGATTGATGATCCGCCGGTGTGGATTGATTGATCCGCCGTTGTGGATTGATACGCGTGTATAGAGGGGCTTGTGGGGTACCGGAACAATGGGAAGTACCCCATAGGGTACTTGTGGGGTACTGAGACGGTACTCGAGAAGGATTTCACGAAGTAGATATTTCAAATTTACTCAAAAAGGAGGAATTTTCAAGTGCCATTCATCCGTTGCAAAATGAAGTATTTTAAACAAGGGACGTTCAGTCGAATTTCCAAAGTAGGAAAGTGAATCTGGTGCAAATGGGAGTGATGTGAAAATGTGTGCGTGTTGTGCGGGAGTTTTGCACACAAGAACAAAGGGAATACCCCAGAAGTATAGCTGTGTAAGGATGTGTGATCCACCGGTGAGGATTTATGATCCACCTGTGACATGACTGGGATGTGTTTTGGGATTAAGCCAAATGAATTGTACAAAGGTAGTTTCCATTGGAGATAAACTAGACACAGAGCCCTCGTCTGACTCAGGGGCGTAGCAATGGGGAGGGGGGCCCACGCCCCCCAATAATTAATTCCAGTTAGGAAATAGAGCTTCGGTTGGCAAATGAATCCAAAATGATATATGTTGGCTGTCGGCATTTTCCCTGAAGCATGAAGGGAGTTGTCTGGACCCTGCTTCACTTCTGGATACCGAGCCACTGGGTCAAGACAGCTTTCATTGAACTTTAATGCAGGGTTGTTAAATGTTTTCAATAAAATATTGATGTGTGCATTTCTGCTGAGGTAGAAATATCCTAAAGGTCAAGCAGATGCATGCTCACTGCCACCAATGAAAAAGTCAGTTTGGTCAGAGAGGGGATCTTCTAGTCCGTGAAACGATCCTCTAAGAATTCACCAGCTAGAGAATACCGTCCAATTTAGTTGAACCTTTTCCTCTCTTCAGAAATGGAAAAACACTTTATCATATTTGAAACTAGATGACATGTTAGCCATCCCTGTTTTGTTTGTTCAGGTAACCTTGCCACGCTGGTCCTCTACCCTTTCCGGCACACTTCAACATCCCTAGGGTTTGCTTGGCTTCCTGTCGACTTTGGTGATGCTCAGTTCAAGGTTTATCTGACCTACATCTGGGAAACACCCCCGAGGCCTACAGCTTACCACGAGATCATCTTTGATGATCTGAACACGCCAGTCTTCTACAAAGCATTTGACACTGTGACTTCAGTGACAACCACGCCGTCCGTTCCTTTGCAGCCTGGACAGCCTTACTACATCAGGATTGATGCCAACACAGTTGCTGATGGACAATTTGAAGGGCGATTTAAAACCAGTATGTCAGCTTTTTGGTTGGTAAAAGCATTAGTTAATGGCCCACTGGGTCTGACGGACCATTTTGTAGACTAACCAGTCATTCTTTCCTTTTCAAATGATAGCCAGTTCATCTCGCCAATTTTAGCGATCACCTCTTTCTTTTGGGGCCTGTATTCTACTTTTACAACCCTGACCAAAAGCCCAATTCCAATTCAGCTAAAACTCTTACTTAAGGCCTACGTGGATTGCCTATTTCTCTTCATCTTTTGTATTTTATTTATGGGGTTATGGGCAAGATTTTGTTCTTCATTTTAAATTTGCCAACATTGAAGACAGCATCTTGTTTTGGTCAGGATCTGAACCAGTGAGGAACCTCCAGACGCTAAACAAGGGCATCAACTTTGTGACTTTTGGCTGGCTTCCTCCACTCAACCAGAACTTTGAGTACTATGAAGTGGAGTACTACCCCCCAGATGGCCAACAGGAGGAAAAGTTCCAAGTCCCCAAGGATGTCACTTCAGCAACGGTGGAGGGCCTCACCCCAGATAAACTCTACAAATTTATTGTGACCACAGTAACAACAACTCTGTACATCTTGCCAAGTGCACCGATGGACATCTGTGAACGGACAAGTGAGTTTCCGTCTGCCTTTGTGCTTGATTTTAAAGCTCAGTTAAAGCTGTACCGAAAGGACTGGTATTTTTGCTTTAATGAGACTTTCAGAACATGGCATGCCTATCCAAATTGTTGCCTATATGTCGCTCCTTGAGATATAATGTTGGTAACTTCCTATGCCGGACAAAAAATCTAAATCCAAACTTCTAAATCTGTTATGTGTGTGTGACCATCATGGTGGAATTTCTTAATGTTTATTTTGTATTGCAAAATATCTTCATAGATTTCTACGTGAGACTTTGTGGGACTTTCTTTTTTCAGTCCACAGTTCCAAGTGTAAACAGTACTGCAATTGAAAATATGAGCATTCCCCTAATTCCACTGTGAATAAGGGAATAAATACGTGCTTGGCTGGTCTTAAACATGCATTTAAGACCGGCTCCGGAGAATGGACCTGGCTAATGCCCAAGCCACATGCGAGGGCATTGTCAGGGTTCATTCTCCTGAATTGGTCTTAAAACATTAGTCTAAGACTGGCCAAGCACAGATTTATTCCCATTCATAAACACCTTTTTATTCAGAGAGTCAAATGAAGTCAACATAAAATGGATTTCCAACGATTTTGTTTGAAAACATTACTTTTATTTTCCCAAACACCCCCGTCCATTTTATGGTATATTCCTTCTGATAGTTGTCCAATAGAATCCCCTTCAATGAACTTGGCGCACGCTTGGTGCGTCTCGTGCTCACAGACTCCTGACCAATCAGACCCAATTAAACTGTCTGGTATCCATGTGCCAGCGCGTGATTTACGCATGCAGCGGGCATTATCAAATGTTAATACGCGGTTGTGTGACGGGTTTCGACCAATAGGAATAGAAAAACTGTCTGAGGTATTTATGAATGTCGGGTCAATTACCAATTTCCTATGCTATGTTGTATTCAGTCGTGTTGACTCTTTACATTTGTATTCCTCTTGCTGCACTCAGCCACGTCGCCTGGTGCCCTTGTCATCAAGAACGTAACCACCACTACAATCAGAGTCACTTGGGGCATCCTGTCTAATGCCATGGAGCCTTACCTTCTCCGCGTTGACACCAGCCCGCCGACAGATGCAGCAGTCAACAACACCATTCGCTTCTACACAATCAGGGGCTTAACCCCCGGCCAGAGATACACGATCTCTCTCATCTACAGCATCGCCGGGTCTAGTCAACAGAGCAGCATCGTCCAGAGAACACGTATGTCTTGGCCATACTTTGAAATATTCATCAATACCTTGAGGAATGTCAAAATCTGATTGGATGAAAGTTACCGAACCTGTCAGGAAAATATGCACTACATATGAAGTCAAGGGGTCAAGGGTCAAGGTTAGAGCCAGGGTTAGGGTTAGGGTAGATTTGATGGGTAGATGCAGCATAGCTGTCAGGTACATTCGGTAAAATTACAAATGAATTTGAAGGTACATAACCAAACTGCTCATATATTGATAGCTTCCCACAAAGTAGGCGATCACATTAGGTGACTTTTTTGTATTTTCTTGGGGTTTTAGTTCAGGCCAGCTTTGAGTCAATTATATGTATCTCTGACATTCTATGGGGATGAATTTTGGCATTTGTGGAATGACCGTGTTTCCAAGCTGATACTTTTGAAAGGCGCCAAGAGACATAGCTGTTTGTGAAACCCATAAACTGTCTGAACATTCTTGGTTGCAATCCCAAGATACTCCTGGTTTTGCCAGATTAATTTTCTCTGGGCCAAACTTTCCACCCCGCTCTGAAATTGTTTTTTTTTTCTGTCTTGTTTGTTGCCTCCACCTTGAGTAGTCTTTGGGTCCATGGTTGTCAACCCTCTTGAAAACTCTCACACTTGGGTAAAGTTGGCTGGAAAAGCCAGAACAGACTTAAAGTTCCCATTGGTTTGTGTCAGAAAAAAAATGCCAGCAAATTTTGCAAATTTCCAGCTTACAAGTGTTGTATTCAAGTGTCAGAACTTGCCGATCATTCACACATTTAATAAATGCGGATTTCTCCTGACGTTCTCATACGGATCTCTGTTTTATAATGCAGTACCACTAAGTATTCCTGCAGTGACGGTAAATGCCACCACAGCTCTGACGGCAGATATAACCTGGTCTGGTTTCCAGGGTGATCCCATCTTTGATCGATACAGGTAAAGACCTCTTGCATTCAACTGTGTAAACAGGGAACCGCACACCAGAATCCCTCTTGACAGTTGAGCTTTACATTGGTGCTGTCAGTATTGGGTGAAATTATTCCCAAATGTTAAATTGCCGGGAAGGAACTCCGTAGAGGTGGTCAGTCAATCTTATGAGATGTTTTCCTCATTCACAAGTATGAGTTAACCACACCAGGCCAAAAGCCTGAGTTGTTACTGTAATCGATGTCTATAAGGTAATTGCCTTGTAAAGTGAAAACCAACTAGCTTCCAGTATCATCAGTTTTAATGACCATAACTAAGTTCTGGAGTAAACGACACGTATATAAGAAGCACCTTACCATGGTGTAATGAACAAACAATGAAAGTCGTATGGTTAGAATAATCTCCTGCAAAGCCCCGTTGGAATTGGGTTAAAAGCTAGGAAGCAGTGTTGATGATGTACATGTAGGTTCTTGACATATCATGGGATTCCCGGAATTGCAACCCACACGTTACGGGTTCGAGCTCACCTTCAGCTATTCATTCCTGTCCCATTTGCCCCAACACACACTCACAGGATATCATACAGAACAGTAGGTGGTCCTGAAATTACGGCAGGATTTGTAGAGAAGAGCCAACCTCTTCGGTTCACTGTGAGGAGACTGGAGCCGGAGACTAACTACACGTTCTACGTAGTCTCTGTGAGTGGACCTGAAGGTGAAGAGACATACAGCAGTCCACAAAGTGCCACTGGACGAACAGGTACATGGCAGAGAAAACCCATCGACACAAACCTAAGATGAGTCTTACTGGCTGCGTCTAATTCCGACTGGCAGTGCCACTGGTCGTATATTGCGACCATGTCCTGTGAACCAGTTTGCTTTTTCACGCGCGTTTTAATGTTCTTGAATGACCCATGACACATTGCATTTTGAGCATGCGCTTTTTAAATACTGAACAGGCTGGCTGACATGTGGGTTACAAACAGCTGTCATGTGAACTTTGGTACAAAGTCATTGGTTTTGACATCCTTGTACCCACATGATTAATTGTTGATCCTTCCCAATGCAAATAACTACACGTTTACCATGTAGGTTAACTCAAACCCAGAAATATGTTTTTGCGGTGGTCATTGGTTGAGTGCTTTTGCACTTCAGTTGATACCAGTGTGATGTCACTGTTTTGACTGGACAAGAAGTGGAGATTAAAATTGGTTCATAGCCGGTTCCAAATGGCAGAAAGCAAGTGGACAAATTTTAAGTTAATTATGTCCTTCCAAATTTGCTGTTACGTGCTGTGAACCAAACGTGTACTTTCCTCGAAACGGAAAGAGAGAGCAGCAGTGGAAAGAATTGTGTTGACCAGGGTGAAAAAAAATATCTTAGGGTGAAAAAAAATATCTTAGGGTGAAAAAAAAATCTTAGGGTGAAAAAAAATATCTTAGGGTGAAAAAAAATATCTTTCAACTATGTTGTCTGCTTTCTTGAACCATGGATGTCACTGCCTCACATTTTGTCTCATGCTTTGATGTCACAGACATGTTTCTGGTTAGACGTTGCGAAAAACACACCCCAGACTTGTTGATTATTTGAATTCAATGTTTGCGGTTTGCCGGCAGCTCAACTTGCCCCAGCAGAACTTGCTGTTCAAGACGTGAGTACCACCACCATCACCATCTTCTGGGGGGATGCCTCTGGCCTGGATGGCTTTGTACAACACACTGTTACCATCGCGCCCAGTGAAGGAGTCCCAACAATTGATCTTAACAATCGAGAGGCCACGTTCTCAGGCCTGACCCCGGGAAGAGAGTACACCATTCGTGTAGTGGCGGTCGGGGTACAAGACGTGTCTGGAGAAGTCACCGATCGAACCTGTAAGTCCAATTCCAACCGTGCCAAAAATTCCAACCAGGTTACATTTCACGCTTGTGATCAACTCCAAAGTTAAGGTTAGGGAACACCGTGACATAAGTTTTGTCAGAATTAATACAGTATTTGAAGTATCATAATGTTGCTTTTTGTACACAAAAATTATGTTTTATGAAAACACAAAGGTGCAGGTGCAAATATTAATTTGTTTAAATTCATAGAGCTCTGTGTTTCTCTCTTAATTGGTCAAAGTTTTTTCTCAAAATAATGTTGGATTGTGAAATATTTCTTTCTTTTCAGTCCCAAACCCACCGGTGAATCCAAACACTCCCTCACTGTCAGGTTCCGTCACACCTGTGTCTCTGTCCGTACGATGGACCGCACCAAGTGGAGATGTTACAGGCTATAGGGTAAGCGGTCCATGTATACCCTCCTGGGGCTGCTCCATGGCAGCCAAGTACAAATCACAGTCGGGTTTACATTATCAAGAGTCCGCTGCTTAACCACATCGTGCCAGGGGGGGCATTTATGAATGTTGATGATGCTGGGACGGGGTGATTTTCATTTTTTTCTGTTTTCAAAATTCTTTAAAAATTCATATCTTCATTTACTGGACACCCACACGAAGGACTGTGTGGTTTCTACTTTAATTTGACGGACAAGATCTATTGACGCTGGAGTATTTCAGCCAGGCCTGCCGCCTTGTAAAAAGAGCCCAGATTGTGGGGTGTTCAGTAATTTTCTTTTGTTCAAGAAACTGGCACAAAACTGACCTCTTTTCAATAGGGGCCAGATTTAGTATGCAGCGGTACTGTGTGGCTCATCGCTGCGGTGGTAGAGCGCTTTTGTCCCCGGTGGTAATCCGCTCGCACTAAATGCCCCAAACCGTTGTATACTGTTTCAAAAAAAGGCTGGATTATCTCCACTATTGAGAGTGAATAAATGTTGGCAATTCCCAGCAGCCTGGTCTTTTGTTACGAGTACGGTCTTTTGTTACAAGGCCCAGTTCCCTTTGTCCGATTTTGGAGACACTGGCTATGCGTATAAAGAATACGTGCCTGAAACCCGAATCCCCAGCGGCAAGTGGTTTAACCTTTGATGATTGTGTAGCATTTATTTATGTGTGTCTTAGGTAAGGTTTGCAATTGTAACCTCTGTCACACTGTATCAGTGCTTATAATACCTGGTGAGTGGTCACACCCTGTTGTTAATGTCTTTGTTGCCCTGAATATCGTACACTCCTCTTCGCCTGAAATCTCACCCAAAGCCAAGGCGTTTGATAGCAACATTAAGCAGCATTAAAGCCTGGGAGACGATGTTCAGGTGTCACTCTCATCACTCGCAGAGGATGAAATTTTCCCCTTGAGATCATCTTGAGTGAACTGTCAATCTTTGTTTTGGGGTTGCCAAAGCCTTGAGCAGATGGAGGATTCTGAAGGCAGGGGTTAATAAGGGCATAAATATATGATTGGTCAGTCTTAAACATGCATTTAAGACCGGCTCAGGAGAATGGACGCGACTAATGCCTAAGCCACAGGTGAGGGCATTATCAGCATTCAGTCTCCCAAGCCGGTCTTGGCCACACACATATTTATTCCCATTTATAAATACCTTTTTTTATTCTGATGGTAAAAAAAAGTCAGTGTATGATGGATTTCCAACGATTTTGTTCTAGAATTTTACTTTCTTTTTCCCAAACACCCCTGTCCATTTTATGGTATATTCCTTGTGTAAGTTGTCTAAAAGAATCTCCTTATATGGACTTGGCGGATGCGTGGCAGATTCATGACCAATAGGGATGGAGTAAACTGTCTCATATCAAGGTATCAGCAGGTGTTTTATGCACCGGGCATCATCAATAATATACATGGTCAAGTTGTGCATTGTTGAATAGGGAGACTGTCTGAGGTATATTTATGAATGCTGATTTCATACTTTTAGGGACTCAGAACAGCGTAACCTGTTCCGTTTATGAGGCATCGCATTCAATTCATCAAGAAACACGTAACTCTGTGTTGTGTGCTGAATCCAGTATTGTGGTTGGATCCTTCACAAGTCCCTGCAGGCCCGTCACAAGCCATTTGAGTCTTAAGGAATGTCACAAGTTGTTTAAATGAACTTTGAAAACAGCATCCCCTTACTAGCTCACCCTGTTACTTATAGAACTGGTCTTGCGAAAGGACCTGTCATGGCCTCGACCACAACACTATTAAGAATACACCATTTTTCTGCAACCTTTTTTCCATCTATGAGTTCACATTGTTGTACTTCCACATCCTGCATTAGGTCTCGTACTTTGCTGAGGGCACCGTGAAGCTCATGTCCGATATAATCAGCACGACGAACTTTGACCTCACTGAGTTGTATCCCAACACCAGTTACACCATTGAGGTTGTAGCAGTGAGTGGGGTGGGCAACTCGGAACGCGTCAGCGAACCAGCGTCTTACACCCAGTCAACCTGTAAGCAAATACATGCCAATTAATACTTAGCGAAATGCTTACAAAGCAGGACAGACTGCAAGCCAAGAAATACAACCATACGCTGTCTAACAAAACATGAGTGCAAGTTTGGATTTCCATTGTGTCTTCACTTGTATAGCCCAGTCACTTCTTTTGTTTCCGATGTCCTTTCAGCGTCGGTACCAACCGGCCAGCTGTTGGTGCGAAGACTGACCTCAACATCTGCAGACTTAGTCTGGGCCCCTGTCGGCTCCTCAGAATATACGGCATCCATAACAGGCTCTAATCTAGAGGTACTAATCACGCTGAACTTTCACCTCTCTCTTCCTTCCTTCAACAGACGTCTTGAAATTAGAAATCATGTTCATGTTCATTTCCTGTACCGGGCATGGATTGAGAAAAAAAAACTGTCATGATTCTTCCTGGGGGGAAAGGTGTAATCACATTTGTGTAAACCCTCCTGAATGCTAGCCGTGTTTGAAGTACTTGGAAGCAGCTTGAAATTACACACAGCTCTATGGGAAGCACCTGCAGCCTCTATCATATACCTTTGTGTCATTACAAGCTGCAGCCAAGAAAAGCAGATCTGACCTTTATTTTAAGAAAATGTTCACACCAGGGAAGTGCTCTGGTTTTCTAACCTTGGTTAAGTTCAGGCGTAATGAACCTTAATACTATCTTCTCTCCGTTTGCCAGATATTTGGGGCTGGGGCTGTGGAACCGGTCAACTATGAATTCACAAACCTGCAACCGTCCCGGATCTATGAAGTTCTGATTAACGCCATCAGCCCATTTGTAATGTTCAGCGAAGACATTCGCACAAGTAAGAGTTCAATTCAGCCGGAGTGGTTGCATGGCTGGTGGTGTTTGACTCATTTGGCATTACTCCTTTTTGTCTTCATTCGCTCGCTGAGTAGGAGCGCCGGCCATAGGTAGTACAGATATAATGTCAGGCATGCTGGAGTTTGCTAGCATTTCTTGAAGAGCACCGGCTGAAGCAAGATTTGTTCTCAAGATAATGTGCACTGGTCATGATGGATTGTTGCAATAGACACAAATTGTTACTCCCCCTAGTTATCAGTTTCCCTGAGTAGTTACAAGACACCGTTGTCGTTGAGGCCATCACAAAACTGGTCGCTAGACCAGTCGCGAGTAATGGGGTTACCAATGAAAAAGGAATGCTTTTGTTGCAGCTCATTTTGAATAGCTTGCGACTTGTATCCAGAGTGGAGGTCTTGTGTTGTTCTTGTGATGCTCTGTTAAGTTCTGGTAATAGTCTTAGGGGGTCTTGACCAGAGCATTGATGCCAGGGTTCTGGTAATAGTCTTAGGGGGTCTTGACCAGAGCATTGATGCCAGGGTGCTGGTAATAGTCTTGGGGGGTCTTGACCAGAGCATTGATGCCAGGGTGCTGGTAATAGTCTTGGGGGGTCTTGACCAGAGCATTGATGCCAGGGTGCTGGTAATAGTCTTGGGGGGTCTTGACCAGAGCATTGATGCCACCGCGGTGCTCATGGTGGATGATGTCACAAGCATGAACAGCTTGTGATCTTTGATCACCTAAGGTTCAAATGCAAAACAATGTCTTACCTATCATGGGAATGCCAAAGCAAGAAATGCCTGGTTATAGGTGTTGATAGAAGCCTAAATATTTCTGCCTTGTCCTAATAATTGGCAATTTGGGGCTGTGTTGTAGATCCTGACTCACCAGGGGTCATCACGGTGAGTGAAGTCACCCCAACGTCCTTCAGGATCACGTGGCAGCCTGCCAGCGGTCTTCTGAATGGATACAACATTGAGGTCTTCGGCCCGGGCAACCCAACGTTCCCGCAGATGGTCGGTCCCAACACCACCTCCGCTGACTTCTCACTGCTGATGCCTCTATCAGAGTACCGTGTGGTGGTCAAGTCTAGGCTGGACTCTAGGAACACCGGTGTCGGTTTCTTCCCCACCCAGTTTGGGGATACAGCTTCTGAGAGAGTTGTAGAAACAGGTAAACAGAATCCTAAACCTCACTGCTTATGTATTGAATTCCTTTGTGTTGAGAAAAAACTGTCGAACGAAAAAGTCTCAAGTCAAAACTCAACATTTGAACATTTGGTCTCACTTAGTTTAATATGGGAAGGCAGAAAAAGTCCTTGCTAAAATAGTTTTAGTTTTGTTTATGTCCTGATGCTTAGCACAAACCTGGCAGGTGAGCTGAATCAAAACGATTTTTGTCTGTAAAGTACATTAACTTGACAAAACTATCTGGGCAAAATCACTGCCCTGTTTTCTCAGATGCGAAACAGGCTCTGAATATGTACAGTATTAGTTGCTCAGGCATTCCTGAAAAAAACCAGTCACCATTGCTTCCAAATGTTCCAGACATAATGCGATGATTTATTTTTGATCTCTTCGTCCACAGCTGATATTGGATTAAGCGAGATCTTTGTCAGCAGCTACACCACCAGCGAGATCACGGTGGTCTGGCGAGAGAACCTGGCCGCCGACAACAACATCTACCAGATCTACATCTACAGGACAGGGGCCGGACGGGATGTTCTACAGGCACAGGCGGTGAACCCCAACCAGCTCTTTATCACCAGACGTTTCCAGGGGTTGACCCCCGGTGAACTGTACACCGTTGAGGTGGTGGTCACTTCCTCACTGACCCTAGCAACCTCCCAGCGCACCCGTAAGTCCTCTTCAGATTCTTGTATCTACAACGAAAACTTCCATTTTTATTTATCTCTGCATTCCTTACTTTATCAAGGAAGTTACAATCACGACCTGATCACCATTTCTGTAATATCTAAGAAGGTGTGTGCTTCTTGTGGATCCATTAACCTCAAATGCTGATGATGACAGTTTCACGACTATGCAGTGCAGCAATACTATTAATGCACCTTGTTTAATGGTCTCTCAATCGGCAGGAATAGTCAGGTTGGTTCAGTTGTTTTCACCGAGGAAACAGCCTTGTTAGAGTTTGAGAACAGAAGTGGCCGGTCTGTCAGTTGAACTCTTTTTTGCACCTTTCTGCCTTCCTGTGGGCAGTTAGACAGGAAAGTGTCTGTGATTGACAAGTATTGGATTCACCAAGAATTCATTTGGAGAGAGGGGATCCAAAACCTCAGCAATGAAAAAAAAATGCAGGTGGATTTACTTGGACTGTACTTGATTGTGCAAATCAATAACAGCGCCCTCGGCAAGCAGTGCATTGATGGGATGATACCTTCCCACATTGTTTTGCTCACAGGTGCAGCCCAGCCAGGGATACCTTTCAGATTGTCCAGTTCTTCGACCACCCTGGAGGTCGGCTGGCAACCGTCCAACGGAGTGGTGAACTTCTACCTCCTGGACTACCAGCCGGAGGACGGTAGCTCCAGCAACCCGATTACCGTGATGGCCAGCCAGACCCCACGCTTCATCCTGCGCAAGCTGCTCCCCGGCTCCATGTACACCGTGTCCGTTCGGGCAGTGGCTGGGGAAGGAATAGATCGGACCACCAGTGTCCCCCGCTCAGGCACCATGTCCACAAGTAACTTGGCACTTCTTCTTCCCCTTATTTTGTTTTTTAATCCAGCATTTTCTATTTATTGATTTCCAAATACGGCGTGAAATTTCCCAGGGTACTAAGGAAGAAAAAAAAGTTGAAGGTCATTTCTTTTAATACAACTAACTTGCTCTAGGTTGGAGGAGAAAAAACTTGGGCCTTGGGTATTTTGGAGGTCATTCTTGAAACCCACAATTCTGCAAACTATGTCACCATCTTGGAGACAAATGACCAATGGGATTGTGTCAATCGCCTCTCTGCAACATGTAAAGGAATCTCTCCCTTGTATAACATGAACGGAAAAACAACATGGTAAAGACGGCTGTGCTGCTAGTTGAGGATATCTGCGGCACTATCGCTGGTAAATTCAGCGTTCCAGTTGACTTGCTCTTGTATTTTTGTGTGTGTGGTCATAAAGCACAGTACATATACTTGACCACTGACAGTTGCACTATGCACAACAGTTGCCTGGCACTACATCCTCCTGCAAGGAGGTTGGATACCAGTTCGCACTTACTGACCGGTTCTTTGTTTAATCCGGGTATATTATTGAAAATAAGATCACTTTTGATTTTTTTTATCAGCTAACTTCAAGCGTTTCATTCAGAAAGAAATCATGCACCGTTCATATTTTTTTCAAAATAGTAAAAATCCTGCCTCAGGAAAACATTGTTTGACTATTTTCATTTTGCATCTTTGCTAAAATTGGAGTTAGTGGTTCATAATCTTACTTATGAAAAAAAATGTTGGCCTTATCTGTGCTGTCTTCGTCAGTTTTGGGCTGCTCTTCCTGTATTCCCTGTTTTGAGTTTGAGAAAGTAACAAAGGAAATTAGAGTTTCTCTTATGATCCATCTTTACAAAATGAATTACAAGGTAAATCTATGAAAGCCCTCAGCATCTTTTGTCTGACTTAGTTCGTCTTTGTTTAGGATGAGACATCAAAAGTGATACATCGTAACAGGGCTCAGTTTGTTTTTATCATGTGCAAAAAGGTACAAAAAGTTTTCTTCACATACTGTGTGTCTTGAATAGTTTGTTCCTCTTTCTGGTAAGCTTAGCGTGAAAATCTACCTAACAGCTTACACTGCCTTGCAGATATACCAAGATGGGCCTTGGTTTTTGATCTTTGACAATATTTCCTTTTGACTTGAAGCAAGCATTTAGATTATTTCAACTTGTCAAGTTTAGTTAATTGTGATTTGTGTTAAATATTACAGATGCTGCCGCTGCAGCTGAGGTCATTTTCCGGGAAATCACGGCCACCACTGTGGAGTTTACCTGGGGGGAAGTCACTGGAGCCTTCCAAAATTATGTTTATCAACTTGCACCTTCGTCTGGAACCAACGTCGGTGTGGTTGCACCAGATGCAGTGCGCATTGGTAGCTTCAGCAGCCTGCGGCCTGGAAGTCTTTACAATGTCACCGTCACAGCCGGCGCTCTGTCCAGTACAAACACCTTCCGCACCTGTAAGTATGTCTAGACTTGCCAATCCTACGTTCTGTTGACGCGGCTGCTTTTTCTCAAAAGTGTTATTTTGAGCTAATCAGTGAAATTTGTTGACTTAAGACATACTTAAGATGGCATCTTTCTGCGGATGCTAGACAAGTAAGGTCTTGTCACTTACTGACTCCCACGTGCTTTAAATCTGTATACCTTAGGAAGCCACGGTGTACCAGGAATGATCAGCTTTTGCTTCAGACTGCGTTCCAGCTAATTGCTGTGGCCAGTAAACTAACATAGGTTTCTATGGCAGTCATCAGCTTGTGGCTAGGAGCATTTCCCAAATTGTGTTTGATTGCTAGCCATAGCCAAATGAACAGGATAAGGCTGGCCTCCAGTGCCTCCACATAATCTCATCAGAGAAAACTCAACTGATGCTTTCACCAATCTTTGCTGTGTCTCCTTTGTGCTAAAGCAGCAATCAGAGTGCAAAGTCAACATTATTTAGTGGAAAATTTTTAAACCGTTTTTTCTTTAGTGCCAGCTTCACCTGTTGGACTGTTTGCCGTCAGTTCTACCACAACCTCCATCTCAATTAGCTGGAATGAGCCCTCTGTGGTCTCAGACTTTGATTCCTACATTATCACCTACAACATCGGCGATGGGCCTGTCCTCAATGAAATCTTTGTCACAAGAAGTGTGGACAACTATCAACTAGAGGACCTGTTCCCGGCCACTTCATACAACATTAAAGTGGCCACAAGCTCCGGAACCGGTCTACTGAGAACAGTTAGTGAACCGGATACCTTGACAGCCAACACCAGTAAGTACGGTTGAATAACCTGCCATTTTGTCAGACTTGCTTAGCATCCACTTATTGTGTATCATTCTTTTGTTGATGTCTTTCAGTTGGCCGTGATTTATGCTGGAGTAGTTTACAGCGAATTACCAAACATCGTTTTTCCCAGATTAAACTAAGAGTAGAAGAAATTTCAGCTAGACTGTTAGCCTAGGATGTAAAAATCTAGTTCCAGATATACTGCTGGTCCTGCGACCATCTGTACAGGACTTTGTAGCAATGGGTCATAGCATCTATTTATCTCTCCTTACAGCTTCCCCAAATCCAGGAGTTCTTGTCATCCTGTCTGTGGACAGAACCTCTATCCGAGCTTCCTGGGGTGCGGCAGACAACGTACCAGGCTTCACTGGCTACTCCGTCTCCATCGATTCACCCAGCGCCACTAGGGTCATTAACAACATTCAGCGACTAGTGGTCTTCTCAAACCTTGTGGCTGGGGAACTCTATAACATCAGCGTGGTTGTGCTGACTAACACAGGCATTATGACATCAATGGTGCAGAGGACAGGTACGTAGCACAAATGTGCAGATGTTGTCAGGAAACTTTGAGATTACTATACAAGTGTGCTAGTCAGTGTCATAGACATTGCTAGCTGCTCATATGTCTTGCATTGGGTGTACCTTTTTTTTTGCTAAGCTTCTCCAAACTTGTACGCTTAAGATCAGTCACAAGGGTAAAATGTTTGTTATGTTTGAGTAAAGAGTATTTTCTTGTGAGTGGTTTTTGCTTGTTTGGATTTATATTACGTACAAAGTTCACAAGTGTTTAATGATGATGTTTTCATGATCTGTTTTAGTTCCCAATCCACCGTTGTCTGTCTCTGCTGTGTCATCGGATGCCGTATCAGTCACCCTCCTGTGGACCGCGGCGACCGGTATCTTCAGCGGTTACCGGGTGTCTTACAAGAGGATGGGCTCCTTGGTACCCATCACAGCTGGCTCCACTCCCAAGATGGTCACACAGTTGAAGGTGACTGGTCTCCTACCATCCACAACCTATGATTTTGATGTGGTCACAGTGTCAGGAACTGGGGACTTGCAAGAAATCAGTGCACCTGTTAATGTCACTGCATCAACTGGTGAGGAACAAACATGTTAGTTAGTCCTTGACTGAACAGCCATTACCTCTTTTAAGATATTCCAGTGCAAAGTGCATAACAACTTTTTTTGCAAATGATAAGTATTTTTTGGTCCATTCTATCAGCAACGGTGAATGTTGGGACAATCCTAGTCCGATCCCTGACTTCGACCAGTGTCTCCCTTGTGTGGGGTCGGATTACTGGCACGGCTCCGGACTATCAACTGAGCCTTTTCCTTAGAAGTAGTGGTGCCCTGGTCAACTCTCTTCAGAACCTGGCGATTGAAGAGGCCATGTTTGGCTCCCTGTCACCAGCCACGATATACCGTGTGGACCTGGTCTACTCAGGCACTCAACAACCTACATCCAGTCTTCATATTCGAACAAGTAGGTTGCTGCTGTCAGTAAACTTGTCATAAAGCACACACATGACAATAGCATGGATGAGAAACTTTCCAGCTCCAAGCATCTTAACCTTAACTGTGTGGTTTAGTCTGGCAAGTGAAACAGTGAAGTCAATGTCACCGTCAGTGTCAATGTCAGGTATCTTCTCTTTTCACTCGTTGACTCATGTGACCCGACTTACATCTGCCATTGTCATTGGCTGTAAGGAAGCCTGCAAAGCTTTGGCAAATGACAAAAAAATGCAGGGCCAGTCGGTGCTGCTGGATTGGCATGATAATAAAAGCTGTAGATGACACAAGTGGTGACCGTTATGCTTTGTGGTGAAGAATTTGGGGGCTGGAAAGTAAGCCTAAAGACGTGGCCTGCAACATAAGATGTACTGCTGTTAACCATAATGCAGTGGTGGCCTGTCTTGGGGAAACCCTATTGCCATGGGGTGCTTTGACATCTTTGATCAGACCGTTTAGCTGTACTGTTATCATTGACATCACACATGTAGAGGATTTTGATGTATTTAAATTCGTTTCTTACGATTATCAAACATTTAAGTTGTGAATAGAACAGTGCCTTGTTCCGTGTGTATTGATTCACACTACCCTGCTGTCTTATCCAGACCCAGCCAACCCCTCAGGAATAAGTCCCATCGCTGTGACAACCACATCCATCGAAGTCTCCTGGAATGCCCCGGGAGGCTCTAGTGACTTCAGCTTCTACGAGGTATACATCACCAACGAGCAAGGGGAAGAGTCACTGGCTGGCCGCATCAACCGAGACGAGGATCGACGCTACCGCTTTGAGATGCTGAAACCAGACTCGGACTATGAGATTGAAGTGGTGGCCGTCCTGCAGTCCAGTGCAGACCCCGTGTTTGCGCAACAGCGGAATGACGACAGAGTCGCAAGAACCTTCCACACTAGTTAGTAGCCATTTTTCTTTAGTTCTAGACTGATATAAAGCCAAGAGGGCTTGTCCATCTCATCCATTGCAAGCACAAGAACTGGCATAATTTGATAGAATTGTTGAGCTTGTGATCTCTGGAAAGATGCAGGCAAGATGTACATATCCACCAATGCTGTTGCTCAGTCAGCTATACTTCTTTATCATCCCCGCTCATTGGGCCCAGAAGCATTCTTGAAATCATCTAATCTCCCTGGAGAGTACACAACTTGGTTCAATTTATCACAGTTACCCACTCTTCCCTCACGCGTACCCATTTAACTCCTGGATGAAGAAAGGCGAGTGGGGGTCGAGTGAGTCACCCCAGGTCACAGTGTATATCCCATTGCTGGATATAAAGCCCTTTCCCTGTGATTTTAAAGTCAACCCACAAGGTCGGAAGTCAGAACATCTGACAGATTGTAGCGTCATTCAGTCATTATAACTTTAAATAAGACAGGACCACTTACATATTTCATAATTAATTGCCTTTTCTCCAGACCCTGTTCCGAGTGGGCAGATCATTATTCAGAATGTGAACACCACTTCCATGGACATTCTGTGGGCCGAGGTTCCGAATGACGGTGTTAGCGGTTATTTCGTCTTTCTCTGGCCAGCTAGTGAATCCAGACCAATATTCACCGACATCTTCATCCCTCGAAACACCGCACAGTCCACCGCCTCCTACCTGGCCACTGGTCTTGTCCCCGGCAGACTGTACGATATCCGTATCGAGATCACGCCTGGCAATATCGTCGACCCAAGCGTTCTTACCGGGCAGCAGCGCACACGTAAGTTCAACAAGCACTGTGACCAAATTTATGGAATGCTTTGACAGTAAGGCCGAGTGAATTAAACACGAAATAAACACTTGATGAGTGAAACTCAGCCCTCTCCACAGGAAAGTTTTTTGAGAGAGTTGTGCCCTTTTGGAAAATGGTAAAATAGGACAATAAACTCATGGTTGTAAAAAAATCGGATGATTTCCTTCTGCACCCTATTCATAGGGTGCACAGTGTGCATAATATGAATCATGTAATCAAAGATTCTAGTTGTGGCAGTTTTCTGCCATTTGATTGTTTTGACCAATCTTGTCATTTGGCAGGGCCGAGTCCCCCGGAATCTCTCACCCGGGTTACTGGCACCTCCACCTCCCTGGAAGTGACCTGGCACCGTGGCTCTGGTCCCGGAGACGTGGACCTCTTCCTGGTATCCTACTTCCCCGACAATGGGATCACCCTCTCACCCCTGGTGGTGAGAGTGGGCAGCCCCCTGCAGGTCAAGTTTGAAAACTTGTTGCCAGCCAGTGACTACTTGGTGACCGTGGAGGCAGTGTCCGGTGGTGCAGACAACAGTGAGAGAAGTACTGACTTGTCTGCAACTTTCACCACAGGTAAGCAGCTGCGTTGACCCTCGCAGAGGACGAGGCGGTGTATTGGCTTAGTGCACATGATGATCTTCTTGTGCTGACATCACTGATGTAAGACCAACGAGGTGCATGTCAATTGCATCAATGATTGTTAACAGCGTATTCAGTCTTTATTTAAACAGGGTAAATAGCTATCAAATTTCTCCTTAGTGGCCCTGGGGAGAAGACAAATGAAGAAATGGACAGTTTTAGAGGTGAGAGGAAAATCTGGACCAATATTCCAGGGAAAACCCACAGGATCACTTACAAACTCAGAGCCCAATCCAAAGGTTGGCCTTGGTGGTATTCAAACCCAGGTTGCAGAGGTGGAAGACGAGGAAAGTCCCAGTTTGTGAATCTGACTATAGTTTGACAACTTGTTGGCAGCTGCTTACCGGTATACACTCATAGTGTAGTCTCCTTTTGAATGAGCCCCTAGTCAAACTGTTTTGTAAAATTCTGCCATCACTCATATTTTACCATTGTGTCCATCTTTTTTGACTATTTCAAATGCCCAGTTAAATTTGGGGGGCCATTTGTTTCTTTCGCGGATCCCTTTGTGAGCATACAGAACATGCTGTTTTTTCTTGACAACCCGCCCAGGAAGAGTAAAAAATGATGATGGGCTGCTTCATCGTCTTTCACAATTTGAGTAAAGTATATATGGCTGTTAACCCCTCCCAAAATGATAAAAAAAAGAAAGTGATAATCTGTGTGACTGGATGTGTGAAAGTTCTACTCCACCACATCTTTATTTCTACCCTGATCACTCTCACAGCCAGTGCCAACCCTGCTGAAGTCATCATCCGGGGTGTTCAGGAGAACAGCATTGAGTTTACCTGGGGGGAGGTGACGGGCGACTACACCGAATACACCTTACAGATCAGCGAGGATGCTGCCTCGCAGGTCGCCAACCCAGGCCGACCTGCGATACGAACCTTCAGTGGCCTCATTCCCGGCAAGGAATACACCATCCTGGTCTCCACCAATAACAACAATTTGCCCACTGGGAGCAAGGTTGTCAGGACAAGTGAGTTATGGTGGATTAAAAGAATGGTTTCAGAGAAAGTTAAAGGTAGTGGCTACCAAGTGAGTTTGAAGAAAAGGATTCTTTCCTTTTAAATGTTGTTTTTATCTGTGTTAAATATTGAAATCGGTCCTTAGTCATTCAAAAATTCAACACACGGTTGATGAATTTGGACTTTGAAGTTGTTCAACATGACTTTATTTCGGGATCCACTTCCCAATTTCAGACCAAAGAGTATTCTATTGGATATATAGATAGATTTAACGACAAACAGATGATTTTAACACCACGTTATATTTGAAAATGTAGTTTTTTCTTGAGTACGGACAACTGTGTTTAGTTTTTGTACAGATTGGGTGCTGTATAACTTGACCAACTTCCTGATTTTTTATTACATTATTGTTGCAATGGTGACATCAAACCCCTGTTATTTCTGTTGGTAATTTGTTGATTTGAATTTTTCCTCTCTTTGTCGTCGTCAATATCAGAACCAACGCGTCCAGCCTCCATCCACTCTGTCAACCCTCAACTGACCTCCATTGAGTTCTCCTTCACTCGACCTCCTGATTACCAGAATCAATCGGTCGTCTTCGATCTCTACAAGCTGACCATTACTGAGATGGGCGGGCTCCCCTCAGACCCAGTCTTCCTACCCTCAGACACAACTATGTATACTTTCCGCAACCTCCTGCCAGACAGGATGTATACGCTGTCAGTTGCAGTCGTGTCAGGAACTGGTGATATCTCTCAGACGAGTGACTCCCGCACCCAAGGAGCCAGCACGGGTAGGAAGGATTGTTGCATTTTGCAAGGCATAACTGACTAAGATGTTTTCTCTGTAGTTCCTGGTACTTACTGAAGCTGTCATTTCCCACACAACCTTGTATAATTGCCAGCAGTACCTTAACCATTCAGACGTGGCTGTTAAAGTCAGTGTATGAAGCAGGCTTTTTTCTTCATGGCTGTGGATATCTGCCAGTGAAGTCTCGGGTGCCTTTAGAGTGCCAATTTCTCTGCCAGACATTGAACTGGTTAATAGGAGGGAACAGTGCGGATCCATACTAATAGATATTTGAGAAAAAAACTTCTCCATTATGACCAGAGTTAGTTGAAATGATCTATAAATTATTTCTTAATACAGTACAAAAGATTGCTCAAACATCTTGTCGAATGAAACGAGATATGAAGAAGTGTGATTTTAGCCCCGGGAAAAAACAAAACAAACTTGTAACAAATGAAGGGGTTGAAAGTACAGAATTTACACCAATCAATATGTTGTCAATTTCTGTGGATAGTGTCACCAGCAGCCGGTCAGATAGTGTGTCTGGAGGTGACCAGAACGTCCATCCTGATCACTTGGGGAGATGGTAGCACCCTTTCAGGTTTCATTGGCTATGCTGCCTCCATCTATCCCACCGGTACCCTGCCTGACATGATTGACGGTATTGCACGCACTGCCCGGTTCAGCGGCCTGGTACCTGGCCAACAGTACGACATCACAGTGCGCATTGATGCAACCCAAGACGTCGAGATGACCAAATGTCAACGGACAAGTAAGTTTTGTCCAGAAACTAAGTTTTCTCGTTTTAAATCAGCCCTCTCAGTAAAACCCTTGAGTAGAATGTATAATAAAGCATGAGGCTACATATATGCAACATGTCAGAGATGCTTCAAAGTAAAATAAGCCAGCATTTGCATGTGACCTGTTTTTGCAAAATGAAGGCATGAAGCGTGTTTCAATGTTAGAGAGAAATATCCACAAAGTCCATCTTGCATTTTGTGTGTGATCTTCATGTGTACTTTTTGTGTGAAAACCAGCCATTCCTGAAGCATATGGAGCAAGATTTGTACGTGACCGCTTCAGTTCATGTGACAATTTCCACTTGGTTTTTTTCTCAAAGCCAGTTTATTGTTAGTTTATTCTTAAATTCGTGAAGAAACAAAAGTTTTAAACACTTGCATAGGCAGAAGTTTTCCACAAGAGAAGTCTCACATAAAGTAAAATGAACATTTGTAACATGAAAACTTGCGTGAGAATTGACATGTTTCTGTGTCTCATTCCCATGGAAATGATCACATCTACTACGGCTGTGTGATTTTAATGAAGCATTCCTAATTCCCTTTCTTTCTTTTCGTACATTCATTTCCTTTCAGTTCCCAACCGTCCAGGCAACATATTCATTTCGTCTGTCTTCACACCAACGTCAATTCGACTGTTCTACCCTCTACCGACTGGCGTCTTTGGTGCCTTCAATGTCTACTACACCGAGGTGGGTCGCCAGATTCGCCAACTGGGGGCGACAGTCAACCAAAACTCAGCTGTGGCCACTCTGAATGGCTTGCAGCCAAGCACACAGTACCTGCTTGAAGTGGAGACCGTGTCAGGTTCCAAGGACTGTCGGTCAACCAGTGAACCATCATCCATCCAGTACACCACCGGTACGTCTTTGTAATGACAGAGATATTCAGATCTGTTGATGTTAGCCTATCTGGCTTCATAGAAAAAAGCTGTCTTTGCGAAAAGTCGAGGCACAGAATTGAAAAAAAAAAAAGTATTTGTTTAGGAAACTTACTAACTGGGATATAATGTGAATAGCTGTGTTATGCTTATTAGCTGTGTGATGCTGAGGCAAACGCATCAAAGTATAAGAAAAATGTGGAGCCAGCACCTGCTGCTGGACCAGTATTGTAAGGAAAACTACGTGGGACTGATGTGACTATTATGCTGTTAACAAATTTACGATAGTTTTTGCATGAAAGTAAGCCTCACTATGTAGTTTACAATGTGCCACGAATGGTAGGTTAGAAACACCAAACACTTGCCCAGGGCAATGGTGGTTAATCTTGGAATCCATGTGGTCATGTGGTACTCTGCTACCTTCTGATTGGATCCTGTTCTCAAGATCTTGATGTCGTTCATTCCACAGGTGCAGCCCAGACAGGAGTGCTGTACTTCATGGAAGTGACCTCCACGACACTCCGAGTGCTCTGGGTCAGTGACTCCGACATGACTGTCCTCAATATTGCCAGCGACGACCCTCCCTTCCAGCGGCAGGTATTTGTCGGCGGCGCCACCACGTACCTGATTGAGAACTTGACACCCACGACCGTCTACACCGTCACAGCGACTGGGAGTAGTGGAAGCTTCAACGGATCAGCCAAAACTAGTAAGCCTCCCAAACCATGACCATTTCAGAGCCTGTCAATCATGTTTACTGCTTTTCTGTTGAATCACCTCCATTTCACACAATAAGATAATTCACGTTCAGCCTGACTTGCTCCAAATTGTCTAACCCCTGGGTGACAGTTTTCATTAAACTTGTAGCAAAACAGTCATTTTAAGCTTCTAAACATTTAGCAAACACTTATAAGTCCCACACAGAAGCTGACAGTTAGCAAAATCTTTGCAGGTTGATGTTTTGAAAATGTCCATCACAGCAAACAGTTTATAATGTATATTTGGTTAACTGCCCAGACATTTAGAGATCATTGAAAAATTGAACTTCCTTAGATCAAATACTTTTGTTACATAATATTTTGGAGATTAAACAGTTTGAAGGTACAGTTATTTTTATTTGTGCATTATGTCCCGATAAGGCAACAAAATTTCTCAAAATCTGAAGCAGGAGAGAAGAACAATATTCCAGGATATCAATTTTCGATCAAATGTTGCTGAGTCATGTTTTGAACTGCACCTGAATTCAGTCCCTGGGACTCATTCTCACGTTTAGTCGAATGCAGCCATAAGTGACCCAGTGAACCAACGAATGTAACATGTCGTATAAGCAGTTGCAATTGCAATTTTCCGAAAATGCTTCTTCAGATACATTCTTTGAAATGGCCTTCTTCCATTGTCTTCTTCAAAGTGACAGCTTACCAGAAAGAAGCATTTTATGGGGAGTTTAGTCCCGTAACCATCTTTAAACCAAGTATGCATTTCAGCAGTAATTTTGTTATTCACTTTTTGGATGACTGCAAATGATGGACTATGCTCTTAACCGACATATCTGTGTAAAGTAAACATGGGTTCGGATTATATTTAAGGACAATGTCGTCAGCGATTTAATGAATTGACATAAAGTGATACTTGCTTGGGCACCTTGTGTGGATAATGTAACAGTTCCACATAATACAGTGGAACGCCGCTATAACAAACACGACGGGGTCCACGCAAATGTTTGGTACAGCGGTCGTTTGGTATAGCGAAATTAAATGCCGAACGTTTTGTTGCCATGTTGAGTAGCACCCTCTCTTGTCTAACTGAAGTGCACCCTCTTGTGATACTATGATTTGCTGTTTTCATGATGTTTTGCCATTGCATTCATGTTTGAGGTTTTTAGAAATGTATCTGTTACTTATTTTTGTTTTTTTAAATTAAATCTTGAGTTACCAAATTGATATTTAGTTTATCCTAAAAGTCGTGAAGCTACTTCTCAGGATTGATCTCTGATGCACGCTGTGGCAAATCTCGGTTGATTTGCAACTGCCTAATGTTCGGTAGGTTTTGTGCACAAAATATTGGGAGCCAACGACGATGTTCGGCACAGTCGAATGTTCAGTATAGCGGTGTTCCACTGTATTCCCTTCCACAAACTGCACACCAGTGGCTACATGTGTACTCAGATTATTTTTGTGTTCAGAAACGGTAAATGTTCTTCATTTCCCAAGTTAGAAGGGTCTTCAGTATTAAATTTTATGATATTCCACAAGTACACAGATGGAGTGAACTGGTGTCAAACCCATGGAAACATTTTTTTCTGAATTGCATATCCACAACCGCATCGGATGCTAGTTCGTGCAAACCAAAATCATTCAGTGATTGTGTAAAGTGTGTGTATGCATACTTTAGGCATGCAACTTTTCCTTGGATCCGCTGATTTCCTCGTTTTTCACTTCACACTGGTCCCATTAGGAATTGATAAACACTGTTCAAAATGTCAGAAATATTGGAGTTGCCTCATTTTTTGTTTTGTCAAAGTTGCTTACCTGATATTTTCGTGGTAGTTTGTGAAACCAAAATATTAAGTACAGAGCGTTCACTAAGATGGGGGATGACGCGCATGTAAATAAATGTACATTTTGTATCATTCATGTATAATTGTATCTAACCTTCCATCACAGATCCACCAGATCCAGGAGCTATTACCATGCTTACCCCAGGTCCAACAACAATTGCCCTCGTCTGGGCTCCCGCAGTCGGTGGTGACCTCAACTTCTACCGAGTTCGGTATTACGATCCAACAGGTAGAGAGTTTGTAGCCAGCCCCTTACTGGACTACACAGAAACTGAGTAAGTGGATTTGATCAGATCTGTGGGTGCATCTTCAGATTGGTACATTTGTTGCCTGGTTTGAATTGTTCCCCTTTCACTAAATCTCCTCCCTTAGTACTCCTGTTCTATTCCATTGCAAACATCTTTTTAGCTTGGAATTCTTGAAGTTTGTTGTTTTTTTCTGACTTTGTATGCTGTAAATACAAGTTGGGAAAAAAGAATTTCACACTTGCGTGTATTAGTTTAACAGTGGTTGCTTTTGCCCTTCACTGACATATATTTATGACCTCGCTATGCTCAATGTTTTCTGAAGGCTTGTGAAAACATTCACAAGTTCACTTTGGTTGGACTTGAACCCACAACCTCCATATTGCTAGGCAGACTCCTTTCCACTTAACAACCAGGCTTGCCGGGGTTACCCGTTGAAAATTTCACATTATTGTCTCTGGTATTTCATTCAGTGTAAATTAGGCCCCCTAGAGTTGAAAATACAAACATTTTCAATCAAGTGTGGGCACTCGATCAGAGCAGTGGCCATGTTTGCATTTCTTTGTTGTTGAACAGTGCACAGAAACACATTTGTTGCAAATTTAAATGTGATTTAGTTTTACCTGTAAAATGTTGGCATGGATCGGTTTGCACCCGCCACCTTGTGGCATAGCTTTTGCTTTGAGTATAACTGGCACCCTCTTCCGTTACTGGCACCCTCTTCCGTTACTGGCACCCTCTTCCGTTACTGGCACCCTCTTCCGTTACTGGCACCCTCTTCCGTTACTGGCACCCTCTTCCGTTACTGGCACCCTCTTCCGTTCCTGCACAAATGCTCCGCTGAATTCCTTCACACAACCCCCGAGGGTCACACACAAGATTGAATAAGTCAAGCATTTTTCAATTACACAACTAGAGACTTTCCCGATGTTATTTCATTGAAACAAGTTCTTCCCTTTTCAAATTGACCACAGGTTCACCATTGACGGCCTGTTCCCTGACACCTGTTACGTGGTCAGCATCCAAGCTCTAGCGCACAATCTTGCCGGAGACGGTTTCTGTGCAAGTGACAACCCGTGCATCCGAACGACCCAAACAAGTAAGCAGAATACATCATCTGTCTATCCCGTTGCTCCAGTTAACACTTTTCACAAGGCTGTGTGTCTGTACTGATTTGACAAAATAGGGAGTGAACAGCTCTGGTGGAAAGTTTGCATGCACTTGGGCTGAAAGTATTTTTTTCTTATGGTTTGTAAGACTGTACCTATTTCGGCAACCATTCTTCTGTAGCTCATCAGCGCCACTACTATGAACCTTAAAATCAAGTGTTATGGAACGGTATATTAAGGAGTGGTTGTCACAAATGGATAGCCATTGAGTGCATGTGAATGTACACTTCCGACTGCTTGCTCACTTGCTTAAAATCAAGTTGATGTATTTTGCTGTGCAGAACTCAAACTTTTCCTGTATGACAGTAAAAATTGAAACCAAAAATGTGACCCGGTACATCGAAATCAGGAATCAGTCGCAAATTGACTTATTGAGGTATGTACATGGTCAGAAGCTTTCAAATGGTACACATTACAAGTGTGTTGATGATAACCTTTTATCCAAAATATACAGAAATCGCCACATTGATTTTTTCAACATTTACCTGCTTCCCACTTTACTCAGCCATTACGTAGAACGGCCTCAGCGACTTATTCCTGTTTACAATGTACCGGGTCACAAATAGAGAACTAATAGTAGCATCTTTTTTGATGGTCATATGACCGAACAGTTCCTGGCTGAAGTGTTTTTAATTTGCAAAGGAAAATTTGCCTCCCAGAGTGCCGAAAGCTAACTGCATCTCCCTTACCCTACTTATTCTTGAGTATTTATTTGCTTCACCTGATAAATATGAAATATGAAACTAATGCTACTTTGAAAACATAGAGATATCAAACCATAAACCTCTGGCTTATGAGTGTATGTGCTTTATAGTCCAGCCCTGTGACCTCACTGTTTTAACTTGCTTAATCGTTGGCGTATTGTTCTATTTCTCCAACAGCTTCTGTGCCGGACAACCAGGTCATTATTCAAGACTACACGGCAACTACCATCGCCATCGTCTGGAAGCACATCACGGGCAACAACTTCTACCTTCTCTATGTCTACCTGGATGGCGAAGCCAGACCTACCACGGCAACTCAGATTGTGCCTATTGCTAGCATCACACGAGAAGATCTCTTCTACTTCACATTTGAGGGCCTGATGCCGGGCCGGCTGTACAACGTTGACGTCGGCTACGGGTCAGACTTCCTCAGTACTCGGCGACGAACAAGTAAGTCAAATTGAACAATGAACACCTGCTGTATTAAAACCTGAACTGGGAACTTGTATCAACTTCAGCCAACAAAATTTTCGTAGTTGTTTGTGAACCCGGGAAGTGCAGTTCCCACCAAAGGAGCTAGGAAAATTGCGCCCTCTCTTGGTCATGCTGGGGTAGATGACACATAATAATACAACATGAAACTTTCCTGTCAAATGTATGATGAGTTGCAATTTCCATTTGAAAGGCAAGTATGCAGTGGTGCCCACCTCCCAGCCTAAACTCTCTGACCAGTCTGTGACAGGAATTCCCTGAATCATCCAAAATCCTCCTCTTCGCAGGAAACATTACAGCATTCTTTGTGCTCAAGCTTTAAGTGAAGCAATGGAGGTTGGAATCTACCTTCCTCAACCCAACAAAATCTCCAAACCTTCCCATGGTTTTGGGATCTGAGGTTCACGGTTCAGCAAACTAAACCAAAGACTAATTTATCTTTACTTTCATATTATCTTAGTTCCATTACCAGCAAGTGGACTCAGGCTGTTGGCGCCACCCACATCTACTACCCTACGACTAACCTGGGATGAACCCACAGGCGGGGAGTTCGCCTACTACGAGATCTTCTACCTGCCCAACGACGGCACCCCAGCATCACCGTCCCTGATTGGTCGCATGGACGCGCGGGATGTCACCGTCTCCAACCTGCTGCCCGAGACAGCCTATGCCTTCAGGGTCGTTAGTCTGACTGAGACGCCACTAAGGACAGCAAGTGCAAGAGAGAGGGCGACATTCTCAACCAGTGAGTCTGAAAGCCCCGTACCTATAAGGTCCAGGCATTGATGCCTTCTTAGGTTCCTGTTTTGTGTAACATTATACCCTTCTTCCATGTAAAGCGTATTGAAAAGTGCACTTTATTTGAAAACATAACATTTTTCATGCTTTCCTGAGCGACAGAGGGCGCTGTTGCTTTCATATCAATCAGGAAAGTCACTGCTCACTTTTTGCCATTCAAATTGTGAGCCCTAGATTTGCTCATTGAAAGCATCCCTGAGAAAGGGTTGCTAGTTGGCTTATTAAGCAAATTAAGGAAATTAAGAACAGCAAAAATGCACAAATTTCACAACTTTTTTGTGCACAGATCAATGCAACATTCAGCCGTTTCCCCAGAATGAAATCTTAGTTTTGCTCATCAATTTGAAAATTTGCATTAGCATAAAAATCAAAAAGGCACCAATCCCCTTTCAAATTAGCAAAACAGTTTTGATCAGATTCTTTTAACCACTTTTCAGTGTGCATAAGAATGAGCAGAACTGAAAAAAACCATCCCCCTTGGATTTATCCAAACACCGGCATGCACATCCTGAAAAGTGAGGATATCAAGTCGGTTCCCAGTAAAAGACATTCCCCAACAATTTGTCCTGTGCAAATTTATGTCAAGGGTTAGGGACGTCAGTGCTAGTGGTGAGCTCCTGTGCTGCATTTTAGAAATAAAATGGCATTCTGTACCCCTGTGTAAAAATGCAAGTCGATTTGTGCTTATTAAGGTGATGAGGTTTATTATGACTCACATTTGTTTGGAAACGTTTCAGTGCCCGCGGAGCCGGCAGAAGTCATTGTGAGGAATCTGACAACCACCAGCCTGCAGGTGACCTGGGGTGAGGTGGAAGGAACCACTGACCCGTATCAGGTGGCCTTGACGTCCAGCGTAGGTTCGCCGATCACTCGCACCGTGGCGCGAAACCAGCCCAGACTTCAGGATTTTAACGGCCTCTACCCCGGTCGCAAGTACACCATATCGGTGGCGGTAGCCTCAGTGACAGGCTCAATCGCAATCAGAACAAGTAAGAAACTCGAAAAGGGGCGGGATAATGAAGCATTCTCAGTCAACTGGTTGTGTTGAACTTCACGCTGTTCTTCAGTGCGTGAGACCAAACTGACAATTTGACACAGGGGCTGCATCCTAATCTCTTGTCTAGAGCTAAGTCTAGGTCTTCATTCCATCGGAAATTCGTGGAGACGCGTAGACAATAGACCTAGCCATAGCTCTGGAAGCCCGTTTCGGACGCGGCCCGAGACTCTGCTGACAGAACTATTCCTTTCAAAGAGGTTTTTAAGCACCAGGCTGAGTAAAAAGCACAGCAGCAGAAGCAGAAGACTTCATTGAGAAACAGCGAGCTAATTGTGAACCTATCCCCTGCTGCACAAGCTTTCTTCCGTTTAATCCATGGAATATGCCACCAGTGAGCACAGCTGTTCTTCTCTCTGGCAGATTGTTTGCTGACACTGCTTATGTAATTAAAACGAAGATTTAGGAGTTGCTTTACTAATTAGTTTTTTTTTCTGTCAAATTCCTTCAGAACCTCTGCGGCCCAGTTTATTGACTCGAATCAGTGAAACAGCGACCAGCATCACTGTCAACGTTGACGATCCCAGCGGCCTGACCGAGTTCACTTCCTTCAGGGTCTGGTACAGTCTAGACGATGGGCCCAGGGTCCTGGCCACGGAGATCGGCATGCTTGAAGGCAATGCCACAGTGGAGGGATTGTTCCCCAACACCACTTACCGCATTGCCGCTCAGACAGTGTCTAATGGCGAGGGCTGCGAGTCCAGTAGTGACTTCACTGAAATCTCTGCCTCCACAGGTAATGGTATATAATTTCCATATCAAACACTGTTCTTTTTTTCATGTGAAGATCAGATGCTGCAAAATATGTTAAGATATTATATTCATACTTTTAGCAGAGATATATTGTGCCCTGAATCTTCATTTTGGTAGAAACCCCAAAGAGGATATCTACACCTTAACCACTACCAGCTGG